ATGTGGACCCAACACTGGGTCTGGAACTACAACTGAGTGCTTTCTCACCCCATACCTTATAACAGAAACACTGCATAGTGATTATTGTTTTCTTATCTAATTGTTCCTTGCACTTTTTTAATGATTATTTTGACTGAATTGTTGTTAGCTGCCTTGAATGCTTCCTCATTACCCATAATTTAAGCAAACCACCGTTCCTGATTTTCAGATGTCACAGGGAACTGTGATGGGTTTAAAACTGGCTTCTCATCTCCCCTTCTCACTGTTGCATGAAAGAGAAAGATGGGAGTCCAAAGCTTGCCATGACTTGCTCTCATGGTGGAAAACCTCAGTTTGAATAAGTAAAACTTTTCAGCTATGTAAGAGTGAACCGTGTGTTGGATTTTAAGTGAAAGTGTGTGCCTCAGCTCGGATATCCCTCCCCTCAAATGCTGCCTTAGCCAAACACTACTTTTTCCACCTGGTCAGATCGTTGCTGTGCCCCTTTGGCAGATCTTACACAAGCTCTGCCCACTCAATTTAGGTGCTTGGTGCAACAGTTTTAAAGGTCAATATGAGAAGGATTTAACCTTCACAATACAAAAGCACAATGACTCAGAAGTTTGTTTGTTTTTTCCCCTGGCAAAACAGAACAGTCTTTATCTCCTGAACAATTTGCCATTCCAGCAAGTATGGTTCCTTATGGCTGCAGGAGTTTCCTGCTTTCTGGCTGCATACAACTCAATGTTGCACAGTCCTCCTGCTGCACCATGGGTGCCCATTCCTCCTGCAGGAAGCTGACACCAGCTCAAACCTCACCCCTGGAGTGCCTCCAATGCAGAGATTCTTCTGTTCTGTGTTTCCATGTGGCCCTTGTATAGCTTGCATGCAGCGAGAACACCATCTCCTTCCAAGAGAAGAGAGGGTGTGGTCAGTTTTTGCTTCTGAAAGAGTGTTTAGTACAAAACTCAGGGCCTGGCAGCAAGAGACTTGGTGCATCTGTCTGTGTAGGTGAGATTTACGGACTAACAGCTGAGTCAGGCACTGATTCCTCCAGTAAGGGGAAAGCAGAAAAGGGAGTGTGTATTTAGATGTGTGCATGTGAATGTTGTGGAGAGAGGGAGAGAAAAAATTCCTTCAGGAAGGCAAAAGTTTATCCTTGTTTTCCTTGGGCAGAATCCCAGAAGTCCTACAGCAAGCACATTAGAATGATAAATACCACTTGTATAGCTTTTTTTTTTCTTCATATCCAGGACAAAGGCAGTTGTTTCCATTCAACTAAGTGTGTTATGCACTCAAGCCCACTTCAGTACATTGCAAGGAAGCATCTCGTGGTGCCTGAAAGACTTAACACATTTCAACTCTGGTGAGTTAGAACCTGCTTCCTTAAATGCATCTGATCATGCAGACTCTTCACCATAAAAGTACTGCATATGTCACAATAAAAACCACAAATAATTGAAGTGCATGTGATGGAAGGTGGGACAATTGAGGGACCATTGAGAGCTGGGTTTCATAAATTAACAAACAAATAAAGGAAATAATATTATGGTAGATCATGGGTAGAAGCTGTCTCATATGGATAGCCTTTATGCCACCGATATATTGAAGTGCAAGAGTATACAATCTTTAAAATTACACAATATTCATCATCCTTGGGTGAGCTTTCCTTCCCGATATTTCACATCAATGCAGCTAGTGCAAAATGTGGTGGCTAAGATGTTTGTGGGGTTACAGGCTTATTTTAACTTGACCACATTTCCCTATAAGCTACTTCTGGCTCCTGGGGTCTTATCATTCTTTTGTCTTTTTTGCTGAGTTCATATCTTACTTAAGTTCCTACAAGTCACTCTGACTACTTTATGGAAAGGTGACACCATACTAACTAGCACTATCATCCTTGAGCATCTGCATCCCTTCTTTAAGTCCTTCCATGCTCTTTAGCCTCAGTTTAGGACAGGAGTCAGCAACCTAAGGCCCATGGGCCAGAAGCAGCCCGTGGAGGTCATTTGACTGGCCCACAAGCCACCCCTGAACTGAGCTGCCCACTCATGCACTGCGTTAAACTGGCACGGGGACTTCCTTCTGTGTATCCAAAAATCGCATCTGCGTGCGCGATCCAGCCCATAGCGAGATCTCCGCAGGACTGATCTGGCCCAGGCAAGATAAACCTTGCTGACCCCTAGTTTAGGAAACAGGGAACATATGGCTCTCCAGGCATTCAACAACTATAATTCCCATCTATATTTTCCCCATCATCCCTAAGCATTGGCCATGCTGGCTTGGAACTGGTAGGAGCTTGTCAACAGAGGAAGGCCTGCAGAACACTCGCTCACTCTTCACACACAAATGTCAGACCTGGGGAATGCTGGGGAGCTTCAGATGTTGTTGGACTACAATTCCCATTATCCTTAACCATTGGTCCATGAATCCAGTAGCATCTGAAGGGTCACATGTCCCCCATCCCTGTGAAAGTTTAGGCCTGGTTCTATAAACCTGGGGTAACTCAGAAACTTGTGATTCCTCAATGAGAACAACAGAAATGATTGTTAGCCATCCTAACAATCTTTCCCTGCATTGCACAGCCCAAGGAAACTATTTAGTATGTTCCAGGGCACAGAGGACAACAATGAAACGTACTAGGCTTGGCCAGTGATCCATGCAGATTATGTATCCCAGAATACAACTACCCAAAAATTATTGCCAATATATAAGAGGTTCTGAGGCAGAGATGCAGAAATTTATTGGCAATTTGGAAAGCTTTCCCTGCAAGTAGAAATATTCAAAACCACTGCTTTAGACCATTTTCTAAAATTCAAGATTAAAGCCATGTTAGTTGTGGTTGTTTATTAAAAAGAAAACACTTCCAGCATCTTGAAGATTAACTAACTGTATTTTAAGAACCTGAGCTTTCATAAGACCACTACTGTTCATTTCGTTAATGCTGAAAAATGATTTAGACAACAGCAGTTGCTCTACCCTCTCAAAAAGTGGCCTTGTTATTTCAACAATCCATGGAATTTTTCACTGCAGTCCCTTCTTTAACATATTCAGTGTTACACAGTGATTGGGAAACAGAGCCCAAGTTATCTGTTGCAGTAGTCAACCTTTTCCAATTCAGCAACCCCAACATGGGGTTACCACAGGAGCAGTGTTTTTTAAAAAATATGGTATCTTCCCATCTTTCTTCTTGATTTTATGAGCCAGGATGACCAGGGAGAATGGTCAGCTTTAGCTTGTCAGGCAGGAGTTCACACCATCAAATATCAAAGGAGGCCAGTCCTCTATGCATTCAGTTTCTCTCTCTCTCTCAACAAAAATTAGAAAGCAGGTGGCACCACAACCTACTTTGCTTCATTCCTACTTGAGGATCTCAATGGTCCAGTTAAAGGCCCATGGTCTAAGGCAGCAGGAGGAAACTTGTGGACCTCCAGATGTTACTGAACCACAACTCCCATCATCCCTGAGCATTGCCCATACATGCATCAGGCACAATCCTTTAAGCAATGGTGTGATGAGCCCAACTTTAAAAAAAGAACCATAAAGGCACACTTCTAAAGAATGACACGTGTGCATTGTTGATTTTCTTGAAATTTTATTAATAAAAGGTTATACATAATGACCAGTAGTTAGGAGTAAATGAGCACCCATTGTTTGGCCCTCAGACAGCCATCACCCTGGTAAAAACGAATAGCATCCTTTTCCAGCTGGGGATTCTCAGACTGGCAGTTCCATTCCCAATGGATAAAGATGCTCCACCAGGGCCCTAAGACCTTCCTGCGCCTGCCTCCTTGCCATGGCCCATAGTAAGTAAATGGGCCTTGAATCAGGAGAAAGAGAGGGTGACAATGGCATTCACAGCCTCAGGGTGAGCAGGACAATCTTCCTTGTGCGCGGTCAAATAGGATGCTCATTTTTGTGAGTAGTCCTCTTCAAAAGTTCATGATGTCCCTCCCTGTAATAGGCCCTGTTTAGTTGTTACCCACATGAAGGGGGAATGTGACTAAAGAGGTGGCCTTTAGCTTTATCCCACTTGTGCTGCTCCATCCAGTTTCCCACACTTTCAGGGCAACCCTCTGCAGTGGGGAGACTGCTACTCTCATGTAAACATCTCAAGCAATCTAGAACCCGGTGCCATTAGGCCTCTCAGTCACATGGGGAGCCTACATGAGTGCAACAAGCTCCCCACTGCAGACATGTGCCCTGAACATATGGAAAGCTGAAAGGAGCTGCATGACGGTTTGGTTAAAGGTGGATTGCCCCGTCACACATGCAATGGTCAACAGTATGTAAGGGACCTAATGAAATGGATGTAGTGGGACACGAGAGTGATTCACAGAGCTGGAGCTATTGGTCGTAAGGATGAGACACTGGCCCAGTCAGTGCTCTTCCTGTCCTTTAGTTCTGAGCAGAAGGCCTCAAGTGAGCAATACTACAGAGAAAACTCATTTAAGAGAGTCTCAGAAGTCCACACAGGCTCCTCCTTAAGGTGCTTAAATTTATATCCGGTCTCTCTGTTAAGTCCTGCAGGCATCTTCCTGGCAACATGTGACTTCTCAGATCAGAATAGCCGGTTCACCATTGCTCCTTCCAGGTCAGTCACTCAGTTCTCTGAGGAGGGATGACCCCTTTCAACCATGAAGTCATCAGATGGCTCCTCGCATGCTCAGGAGTTCCTTCCCAAAGCTCCTCATGATCCAGTGAATTCCTACATCGCCCATCCAGCACTAGGCTGGTGGCAGACAATGGAATGGAATGATTCTCTTTTGTCACTCTTGCTGTGTCTGTGTCTTCAACCTAACCTACAAAGTCCTATGGTGTGGACCACCGTAGGTAAGAGTGTAGAGAAGCAACCTTTCAGTCCACAGCAGTTTGGAGGGGGCTTTGTCTATGTCTTAAGACACAGCCAGAAAACCAATGCCCATTCTAGCTATATTTGTGACCCAAGTCTTGCTGTACGCTTTGGGCATCACTTCATTTTTCAGTAGTAATACCATGGAAGAAAAAAAATGGATCTAAGTTCAGTTGCAGCTGGAGATTGCCTTCTGTCCATTGGCAGGTGAATTCACAGCCATCAGTTCCTCTGTATTCTCCATGTTCAGCTTAGGGTCTGGCTCCTTGGACCCATTCACCAGAATCTGGCCAGCTGGGGCTGCCTCATGTTGAAATGCTGCAACAGAAAAGGAAAGGAGGTGAATCTTTGGTTAGACTGGAGACAAGTTGGACAAAGGGCCAGACTATTGCAGATGCTGATGTGTGAGAATATTCAAACTTGGAAGACCTGGGAGCAGGCATTTCCTGTGGCAGCTCCTAAGCTTTGGAGTTCCTCCCCACAGAGATACATTTGGCACATTCATTATACAGCTCTTGTTATATGGCTTTACCCTGGCTTTTGACACCTATCCTATTCTTCTGACTGTAAATTGTTTCAACAGCTTTTGTTATTGTAGTTTTACATTGTTGTAACCTGCCCTGACACTTTAGGGTGAAATGCAGGTCAGAAATTAATAATAATAATAATAATAATAATAATATGGAGTAAAGCACCCAATTCTTACAGGGCTGTTACAATATATTGTAAAGAACTTTGTATACTAAAAGGTGTTACTGAAATAATATTAATAATATAACAATAAAATTGATAGTATTTCCTTGGACTTTGTTATTTTAACTCATGAGCAACTACTTATTCTACAAGCCTATTTTATAGTTTTGTTTTTCATCTTTTAATTTTTGTCTGTTTTTATAATTATATCTGTTTTATATGCATTATAAAATGAAATAATAAAAAACTTTACTACTACTACTACTACTACTAATAATAATAATATAACAGTAATAATAAATCCAAAACCCCATAATGTCAAAAACATGACTTGCAAACTAAAAATAGTGCTCTTCATTTGAGCAATACCTATCACTAGAGTAAGAGTGAAAGTTTAATAAGGATTGAAGTAATTTTGTTACATCTGAAATTGTGGAGCAGCTACTGTTATATCTGAAATAGCAAAGAGCCACTTGAGTCCTAGAAACTTTCTGTCAAAAAGCCATTCTTATATGAGAGGCTAGTTGGATGGAGCAAATTATCCACAACTTGCTGGCCTGAGCAGGCACTGAACAATAGTCTCATGTTCACTTGCTGACTGATAGGGATTTGCAGTATGACAAGTTAGAGAAGGACAAGAGAAACAGAAACTGGGCAGGAATATATGCAAGGTATGGGAGAAATCACACAGCCTTGGCTGAAAAGACCAGTAATATTTTCTTCCTGCATAATACAGTTAACACTGGAGACCGGCCATACCTGCCATGTTCAGGGATAGACTAGATGCAATGGCAGCAGGTCCTGGTGCTTAAACATGGACCTGCCCCAATGTCACAGAAATATGGTTTCCAAAGCAGTAGGTGTGCAGGTGAGGAATCCAGACCCAAACTTTCCACCCCTCTTCATGCAACTTTCCCCCCCATGTGCTTTTCTCCTGGTCATGATAACTTCGGGTATCAGGGTTTAGTTGCTGTGGGTGAGGGCTTGAAACACCCTTAAAAATACCCTGAGCCTTTGATATAAGGTAAAGGGACCCCTGACCATTAGGTCCAGTCGTGGCCGCCTCTGGGGTTGCAGTGCTCAGCTCGCTTTATTGGGACCCCTGACCATTAGGTCCAGTCATGGCCGACTCTGGGGTTGCGGCGCTCCTCTCACTTTATTGGCCGAGGGAGCCGGCGTACAGCTTCCAGGTCATGTGGCCAGCATGACTAAGCCACTTCTGGCGAACCAGAGCAGCACACGGAAATGCCGTTTACCTTCCCGCCAGAGCGGTACCTATTTATCTACTTGCACTTTGACGTGCTTTCGAACTGCTAGGTTGGCAGGAGCAGGGACCGAGCAATGGGAGCTCACCCTGTCATGGGGATTCAAACCTCCGACCTTCTGATCAGCAAGTCCTAGGCTCTGTGGTTTAACGCACAGCGCCACCCGCATCCCTTTGATATACCATACTATTAAAATAAGCATGTTACCTCAGGAGTGAAGAAACCATGAAGAATTATACTGTTTTCCCTTCCATTGCTTAGGCTTCTCTGGCTGGCTGCAGCTCTAGTAACATGAGAACAGGGTGTATCACATGCACGATCCAACTATCTGCTAGCAGTGAAGGGCATTTGTCAGTCTACCTCTTACTAGTTAAAAGAGCAAGCAGGTGTAAAGGAAAACAAATCTTCTGCTGATGGACAGAACACAAGAAGAGCTCTTGCTGGATCCAACCATCTGGTCCAGCATCCTGTTCTTGAGGGAACCACAGAAGCAGGACCTGAGTGCGACAGACCTCTCCCCACTGGCCATTCCGAGTATTTGGCATATGTAAGCATACTGCCTCCCAGCAATGAACATAGCCATCAATAGCTCTGGCCCCCATGAATTAATCATATTTCCTTTGACTGCCATCCAAGTTGGTGGCCTTCATCACATCTTCTGGGAGCAACTTCCACAGATTAAGTAAGCACTGCATGAATAAGTGCTTTCTTTTCTCTTCATCATACCTTTAGTTTCATTGGATTCCCCGCCCCCCCCCACAGTTCTACTATTATGAGAAAAGGCGTGGAAAGCCTCTCCCTATCCACTTTCTCTACAACATGCATGTTAGGCACACAGTCTGTTCCTACATGCTTCTTCATGCTCAGGCTGAGTGGAGATCACCAGAGACAGAGGACTTCTATATATGCAATGGCTATTTGGTCAGCACCTAGCAAGTGTCAGTGAAAGGATCAGGGCATGCAAAAATTTAGCATACGTCAAGACTGCCTCGCACCTTGCCCATATTATGGCAGATTTCAGGGCACCATTAGGGGGCAACAAATATGTTTACAGTGGAACCTCGGTTTTTGAACATAATCCATTCCAGAAGACCATTTGAGTTCGGAAACGTTCGGAAACAAAAAACTCTATACAGAAGCCTCAAAACGGAGAAATTAATACAAAAAATCTCAATACGGAAGCCATCTCAGAAGTTCGACTTCTGAGGTGCATTCGAAAATGGAAGCATTTACTTCTGGGTTTATGGCATTCGAGTTCTGAAACATTTGTCAACGGAGACGTTCAAAAACCAAGGTTCCACTGTATCGCCATGCAGATGCTATTTGGGAGAGTGGGGATAGAGGTTCAAAAGAAGAAGATTCACATGGATTCCTGAACTGAGACTGCTTTTTTCTCTTTCCCTCCCACCTCTCCATGTATTGTACTTAAACCTTGTGCCTGGCAAGGTTTTTTGTCCTGTGGTTCTCAGTCAGAGCATGAGATATTGCCCAACAACATGTCAATAGAGCATGAGATAGAGCAGGCCAAATCACTGATGGAAAAGCAGGGTGTAGCCACTGGTTGGGCTTTAGGGCCACCTTGATTGTGAACTTCATGCTCACGTTTGCTACCAAGCTGATATTTGCTACCAAGCTGTTATTTGTCAGGAGCTCAGGCTGTAGAGCACAATGCATGCTTGTGAGTGGATAGAAATAGTTTTATATAACCTGCCTCCTGGGTGAGAGGCTGCTCTGGTATAGAACTGGGCCTTCTCAGATGGGAGAGGAGTATTAGATGGTCCAGTGCATATCCACATGATACATTTAAAGCACAATGAACACATATTTGAAGCACATGACGTCCCCTTGCTTCCAACAATCCTGGAAACCGTAGTTTCCCTCTAACAGAGCTACAGTTACCAGCACCCATAACAAACTGCAACTCCTAGGATTTGGGGAGGAGGGTCACGTGCATTGGATATGCTTTAAATGTACGGAGTGGTCATGAGCCCATTAGTGCTTCAGAACTGGGGACAGCATCCTTTGTATGTGTACAGTAATACTGTCAGGTATGAGTGGCTGGGTGATAGAGATAATATTTAAGGTAGTGAATGATCATAGTGGTTGTGTGCAATGGTTGGTGAGTAAAATTCAGGGGGTAGTTCTATAATAATGTAATGCAAATTTTCAACCAACATAACATACATTATACTGCCTAGTAATGCTCTCTGACTTTACTTATATTAATATTGTTTGTGGATATTAGTAGTGGTAGCAGCAGCAGCAGCAGCAGTAGTAGTAGTAGTAGTAGTAGTAGAGTGGTACCTCAGGTTAAGTTCTTAATTCGTTCCGGAGGTCCGTACTTAACCTGAAACTGTTCTTAACCTGAAGCACCACTTTAGCTAATGGGGCCTCCTGCTGCCGCCGCACCCCGATTTCTGTTCTCATCCTGAAGCAAAGTTCTTAACCTGAAGCACTATTTCTGGGTTAGCAGAGTCTGTAACCTGAAGCGTATGTAACCTGAGGTACCACTGTATCTGATTTTATATACCTGGGGTATCTCAGGGCGGTTCACAAAATAAAATCAAGATATAAAACCACAATATACCTAATAAAAATAATGGATATGGATATTGCTTGTGTATCTACTGTGTATCTACTATTTTTATCTACTATAAACCACTCTGTGAGCATCAGGTAGTAGGCGGTCTATAAATGGAAATACTATTAATGATGTTCTGCCTCAGGCACCAAAACATCCTGGGCCTTCCTGTATATTCTACCATACATATGAGTAGTGGAAACCCTCTATGTGTCCACCAGTGGCATGCGGTCAGTGGACTAGGGGGACTAGGCAAGTCCCTTAAACGTTCCCAGTAATTAGAGTATTAAAGTATTCATGCCTGGTGCCTTCTCTCAAAGCCCAGGAAGCTTCTGCCTGGCTTAGGGAGGTGCTCGCAACATCACGAAGTCACACACACAATGTGGGGGGAGGGCATCACTCTCATAAACTGGCGCCTCTAGCCCTAACTGTTCCCCTACAAAAAAAAAAATCACCGCACACCACTGGTGCCCACAACTAAGCTCCCCCGGAACCTCCAGGGAGCACAAGAGTGGGAAAGAGTGCTCTCTAAGAGGCTACCTGGTCACATCCGGAGTTGTAAAATGGAAAGGAAAGGTGCCAATCTTTTGATGCAGGTTTCTGGATGAATTAAGGCATAAATGGAACCAGCGTGATAATGACACATATTGTATGAACGCCTGAAGCCACCTTGTGCTGAGTCAGATCAGTGCTACTCTGACTGGCGGCCGAATCTCGCCACCGTCTCTTGGGTGGAGCCTTCTTCCACTTCTGCTACCAGAGATATTTTAAACTGGAAGTGCCCGCGGAGCCCCAGTGCGCGCAAAGCACGTGCTCCGTCTGCCCTTCGGCTCTGGCCATCGTTTCCTGGGCAGAAGGGGCGCGATCTCCTTGCCCCATGCCGTGCACCATCCCCCGCGCGCCATCCCCGACGTGCTGGCCTTACCGGCTCTGCAGCTGTGCCTGGCGCGCACGATCTGCACCGCCTGCTGGTTCTTGAAGCGCACCAGCGCCATGGTGATGTCGGCGTTCCAGCTGGGCTCCTCCTGGGGGCAGCGGAAGTCGATCTCGGCGCCGCCGTCCGTCACCAGCGTGAAGTAGATGTGCCGCTGCTTCCACTCCACGCACTCGAGGGCTTTGACGCGCGCGAAGGGGATCTCCTTGCAACGCGTCGAGCCCCGGCTGCTGGCCTCGAACAGCCGCAGCCCCTTCTCGCCCAGCAGGCAGCGCTTCCTCTTCCAGAGCTGCAGCAGGCCGCCGCTGCGTTTCTCCAGCACCCCTTCTCGAAGCACCTTCTCCGACGCCATGGGGCTCGGGCTGCCCAGGATGCTAGGAAGCGCCGCCGCCGCGTGGTCTGCCAGGAGCGCTTTCCTCTTCCTCCCGCTCCTGCTGCTCCTGGCCGTCCGGCTTCCGAGGGAGAGACCGAGGGAGCCAGAGAGAGCCCGCCCTCTGCCGCGTGAGCTCCGACGGAGGTTGCCCCGGCCTCTGGGCTCCGGGATCTGCCGCTACATGCCCGCTCGCTTGTGCCTCGCTCTTCCCACTCGCATTCCTTTCCTGCTTCGCCAGGGCCTCGCCCCAGCTCTGCCTGCCGGGGAGAGGCAGCGCTCACGCCCAGGCGCGGGGCCGGCTGCGCTGAGAGAGCCCGCGGGGCTGCTGGCGTGCCCAGCTTGGGCGGCTGGCGCACGGAAAGGAAGGTGGCTGGGGCTCGCCGGCATCGTGGGCGGCAGCGATGGCTATCTATATGCTGCTGGTGGGGCGGGCATTGGCAGGTAGACTGAGAAAGGGGCTGCGGCTCGGAGGAGCCACGTCGGACAAGGCACAGCAGACTCGGCCAGATTCCCGCGCGGAAGTGCTTGCCATGGACAGAGGGGGTCGTGGGTAACAGTCGCGCGCGGTCGTGTTTTCTTGTGGACAGAAAGCATAGGAACCAGCTCCTAGGAGGCAAGGTCCTTTCGCGCGCGCCCCCCCGCATATTTGAGGGGCCCCCTCCAATTGATGAACATTGTCATTCAAATGGTGCGCGTGTGCCACGTCCTGTGATTGATTCTGCGGAGCAGAGTTTACCTGGTCGCACCCCTGATCAGAAGTATAATAAAAGCCAAATGGGCATCTAGACAAATAAGTTACTTCAAGGCCAGTGGGGATTTGAACCCTAGTCTTGCAGGTCTTGACTCTAACCACTACACCACAGGGCTCTTGCATGGGGAAAGACCCATAGCCTGGTGGTAGAGCATCTGTTTTGCATGCAGAAGGTCTCAGGTTCAATCCCCAATGACATCTCCAGGTAGGGCAGGGAGTGAATCTTGTCTGAAATCCTGGAAACCCACAGCCAGACAGTGTAGACCAGGGGTCAGCAACCTTTTTCAGCCATGGGCTGGTCCAGACCATGTGGTGGGCCAGACTATTTTTTTGAGGGGGGGGATGAAAGAATTCCTGTGCCCCACAAATAACCCACAAATAACCCAGAGATTCATTTTAAATAAAAGAACACATTCTACTCATGTAAAAACATGCTGATTCCCGAACAGTCCACGGGCCAGATTGAGAAGGCAATTGTGCCGCCTCTGGCCTCCGGGCCTTAGGTTGCCTACCCCTGGTGTAGACAATACTAAGCTAGATGGCGGCCTGCTCAGCCCACAAGAGTAAGGACCCCTCCCTCCACCAGTGGGAACAACTGTTAGCTGCGAGCTGGGTGACAGTGTTCCCTTCTGCAGAATAAACGAGGGAGAAAATCTTTGAAAAAATTCTCCTGCCTCTTTCAGAACTCTCCTTGTACCCACCTGGATATCAGCTGAAGCATAGCTCCTGAGCGAACTACAAATGGCACAGAGCCCCATGCAGCTTTCCCTGTTCTGTTTATGTTTTCCTAATGACTAGCAAGCAGTAGCTGGAGGCCATTAATTGAGAGCAGAGGGAGAATTGGGGTGGTGGTGGGGTTGCATAATCCTTTTCTTCCGAGCCAATTTCTTCTCTCTCTCTTTCATCCTGCTGCCTTTCTCCTTGCGAGGGAAGCTGCACCTTTTCTTCTTGGGGATTTTGGAAAAAGAAGAAAGCTGTCAGAAAACCAATTATCCAAGCATCCATTGTGTTTGTGGTGGAAGTTTTATTTTATTATGATGATGATGGCATTTCTATCCCACCTTTCCTCCAGGAATCTCAAGGTGTTTACATACTTCTCCCTCTCTCCATTTTATCCTCATAACAACCTGGCAAAGTAGATCAGGCTGCAAGACAGTGACTGGACCAAGGTCACCTAGTGGGCTCCCAGGTCTCCCAGGTCCCAGTCCAACACTCTAACCACTACACAACACTGCTTTTTACATGGGAAAGGGCCATAGCATGGAGAAGGTCCCAGGTTCAATCCCAAGCATCTACAGGTAAGACCAGGAGAGACTTCCTGTCTGAAACTTTGGAGAGCTACTAGTGGCAGACCTTCAAGTCTCAAATTTCAGTGGCGCCCTGTGTGATGCCAAAATTCACCCCTGCCAACTACCTTTCACGCTCCGTTCTAAATAATAGTTGTGGCGTCCCCATCACCACCACCCCTAGGTTTTGTGCCCAGTGTGAATGAACAAATCGTGCTCCCCTAAATCCGTCTCTGGAGCCACTGGGAGTCAGTGCAGACGTTATTAAGCTAGATGAATCAATGTTCTGACCCAATAGAAGGCAGCTTCTGACTCCCACCCATGTGCAACTGGGACCATAAATGCAACATGGCATCGTGTTGATATCAGATTGTCTTTGCAATGCACAGGTACTTTGTAACCCAGGAGGGAAAGTGGATAGCAACTGTAGTAAACCTGTCTCCAAGTTTACAGAGACATCATGTGCAAGATATTTTACAAGCATTCCACAACATGACTGAAAAAGAAAGGCTGAAACTGGGATACAAAGTTAGGAAACATGGGCAAGGAAGGCACGTCACCCTGAAAAGCACCTTCTGAACCTTTGTGGTGTGTTAATGTTGGATAGACTGTAGAAGAGAAACATACGTTCAAGCCCTGTTGGCCTATGGCAGAGGTTTTCAACCTTTTTGAGTCCATGGCTCCCTTGACCAACTACATTCTTTCTGTGGCACCCCTGTGGAGCTCAGGATCCCAGTTATGTCACCCCTTGCCCTTTTTCAAACACCCTCCCTTGTGGAGTGTTCCCTCAGCCTCCTCTCCTCTCCCCTCTCCTTGGGAGTCCCCTGGGCAGCCGCCGCTGCCACCGCTGGTCTCTGAGCTGCCCCCCAAAGATGTGTCTCCTCACACTGCCCCACAGGGGCCTGGGACTTGTCTGTCCATTCCCAACAGCAAGAGCTGGCTGGCTGGCTGGCTGGGCTTCCTCGCCCGCTTGCTTACTACGAGGCTGCCTCAGCTTCCTGGCAACCAGCACCCCCTGACCACCCCAGAGGCACCATTCACCTGTGGAGCTTGTAGCCAGGGCTGCTGCAACAAACAGCTGTACAAGCCTTTGGAAAGCAGAGATGCAAGAGGGCATCAGAGGAGGGAGGGAAGGAAGGAAAGAGGGACAGAGGGCACTGTTGCCCATGGCACCCCTGACCACCATTCAAGGCACTGGCCTATGGATGCCTGGAGAAGGCTGTATGCAGCACAGGGCTGTCCCTGGATGGCCAATCCCCATCTAATGTAGCACCCACACATGACCATTGGCATCAATACGCCAGCCGGACTCTCCCTTCTTTTATCTGAATCTACATTTTGGGGAAAATTCAGTAAGTAAAAACCACTTCAGCCCTGATGTCAGTGACCCATGTGTGAACCATTTGTAAATTAAGCCCAGCCATGTCTGGAAGCACTCAAAGCCCTCCCATGCGCTAGAAGCTTAAAGGGAAATGATTCCTACCTTCTGGTGGTACCTTGCAGAATACCTGGATGAGCCACCCCCCACCCCAAGTAATTCAGAACTGGGCTATTCCCTTTGCCCCTCATATAAAGCTGCCCAGTCTGTATCTGGCCAATGTAGTCCTTACATTTAAGTTAAATTTATTTTAAATGTAAAATCAATCAGAGTACTCTTCATGCCCTTTGGCATGGTACCAACACTTCCTGGAGCACTGAAACCTGGTCTCTGCCAGAGACAGGATACAGGGCTAAACTGATTGGACCCAAGAAATTTGTTCTCATATAAGTCTTCTCTCACAATAGAATGGAATGTCCCATGCATTCTTTATGAAATAATCATCGTGGGAGAGGTAGAGGAAACAGAAGATCTCCATACTATCTGAGAGAGGCTATCGGTTTTCCCATCTGGCTTCCTCTCCACATCTTTTAAGAGCATTTTTCTTGCTCACAAAGTAATAAAGCACAGGTTGCTGCTAAATATGCTGACACAGAGACTAGATTGAGTTGTGTGCAGTGCAAGAGTCCCTCTGTATTAGATCCTGAGCATTGCTCTTTAGTTATTCTGCTGTTGAGCCACATCTCAATAAATATGTATTTCACATAAGCAGTATGCAGCAGGTCCTTGGGTGGCTGAGTTATTCGACTACAAAAATGGTTTGCTGTTTCAATGGTAGAGCTTTGTAGGCTCCCGTGGCCTAGCATGAAAGCTGACTCACATAAGCAGTATTCCATGCGCATACAAATGAATCCTTTTCTAGTAAATTTCCCATTAGGAAACAGGTCCGCAGAATGCTAAAAGTGTCTGGAAAGTAATTTAAACAAAGGGGAGAAGCCAAATCATTACAAGGTAGTCCTTGGAGGAGAAGAGTGATGTGGGCACCCCCACATTATGTGGATCAAATAAGAAATTACTGAGGGCATTGAAGCTATTGTGTAGCTAAGGACAAGATTGTGGCATCATATGCTCAGAAATGCAGCTTTCCTAGTCATGGTGGCACGATAGTGGTACCTCGAGTTACAGACACTTTAGGTTACAGACTCCGCTAACCCAGAAATAGTACCTCAGGTTAAGAACTTTGGTTCAGGATGAGAACAGAAATTGCGCTGCGGCGGCAGGGGGAGACCCCATTACCTAAAGTGGTGCTTCAGGTTAAGAACAGTTTCAGGTTAAGAATGGACCTCCAGAATGAATTAAGTTCTTAACCCGAGGTACCACTGTATAGTGAGGGGAAACCCTTCAGATTGAATTCTCTCCTTTTATACACATTTGAGAGTTTTAGTTTTACTTAATAGAATCTGTAATGGGAAACTCTAAAGGGCAGTGATGTCCAAGATGCCGAAGGGTCAGTTTGACAAATTGACAACATGCAACTGGAACTCGCCACACTGAGGTAGCCTTTTATATTTTTCGTAGCTCAAGAGGGCCTCATTGCTAAGCTGATCAGAGAAAATATTTTTGTTGCCTCTAACTCCGTTTTTAACCATTCTTGAGGAACCTCCCTTTTCTCTCTGCACAGTACACTAACTTTTCTCTGCACCGTGACAGTTCTCTCTGAGCTCCTTTCTGTTAACCCCCCTCCTTTTCTTTCTCTATTACATACAGCTTCCTTTTCTCTCTCAAATCACACACATCTATCTTCTGCTTCACCACAAATCTGCAAATCCTATCTATCTCCACCTTTTCCCATTTCCCTATCTCTGCTCCTTTTCTTCCTCTAATCTTCATTCTCTTTTCTCCCCACCTTCCCACCCCATTCTGCCATTCCCTACTACCTTATCTGAAGTCCCCACGAGTTTTCATTATGCTTTCATTATCCCAGCAGCTCACACCAGTGAAGACTTCATGGGCACAGGTGAGCTCAAGCAACTTGATTTGCTGGGTGAAAAAGCTGTCACTAGCTCTTTCATGTGCTTTTGGAATCTGGGCGATACTGGGAGGAACAGTACAGGTGCAGGCACTCTCTTCGCTCCAAATATTGCTGGGGTTGGATAGGCTTTGGCTACTTCCACAAGAGACAGAAATGGGCTGCAACACCATGGGTGTTTGGAATTTCCACAGAAGCCCACAAATAGGGATGGAGTTGCAGTTGACCTGTGGACTTTATGTAGCGCAGACCTGGCCTAGAGAAATAAACCCCTTTTTTCTAAGAAAACTGTTATTTGTAAGTTAGTGCATTTGAAAGAAGTACATGTCACGGCTTGAAATACATGTCACATATCATTCTGAGATGGGGGTTGTTTAAATTATCTATGTAACTGCATTACAGCAGATTTTTAAAAACAAATATCCAAAATGTAAATGTTCATAGCAGACCTGGTACTGTATATTTGTGAAAACTAGGAGTCCTGCATGCCATGCTGTAATATTCAGAGCACTGCCAGTAGAGGTCGCCAGGCCACTTGAGTAAGACAAGGCAGGCTCAAAGCATGATTTGTTTGCTCACAATGAACCCTCACAGGAGGTGTCTCCTATTTCTGCTTCAACGCTCTAGCACCAAATCCAGATGTTCAAGAGAAATCTCTGGAACGCCAGGCTCTGTCCACAGAAATGACAAGCCCCCAAAACGTAGATGTGGGAACTGTCCCTCCAAGTGAGAAATGAAGGTCTGTGAGGAATAAAAATGTATTAAATCATAGCCCAGTGGCAGAAGGCATTCTGACGCGGGTGGCGCTGTGGGTTAAACCACAGAGCCTAGGGCTTGCTGATCAGAAGGTTGGCAGTTTGAATCCCCGCCACGGGGTGAGCTCCCGTTGCTCAGTCCCTGCTCCTGCCAACCTAACAGTTCGGAAGCATGTCAAAGCTTACCTCCGGTGGGAAGGTAAATGGCGTTTCTGTGCACTGCTCTGGTTTGCCAGAAGCGGCTTAGTCATGCTGGCCATGTAACTCAGAAGCTGTACGCCGCAACCCCAGAGTCGGTCACGACTGGACCTAATGGTCAGGGGTCCCTTTACCTTTACCTTTAATTGGGGAAGGGGTTCCACTAGATGAGAGGCGAACATTAGTACAATGTGGAGGAAAGAGGGAAACTCTGGAATCTCCTTAAGCATGACAAAAAAAAAAATAGTTATCTACCTTGAAGTGCCAGGATTGATAAAGCTATAGATCCAAAGTAAATGAGGTTGTATGACAGTCCTGTCAAAGAATCACAGAATCAATGAACTGTAGAGTTGGAAGGGACCACGAGGATAATCTAGTCCAAGCCCCTGCAATGCAAGAATCTTTCACCCAATGTGGGGCTTCAACCCTGAGATTGAGGCTCATGCTATACTGACTGTCCTGACATCACATTTGGGGTTATGTGTGAAACAGACAGTGGCCCCAACTGCCACACAGGCTAATGTGCTAAGCACACCTGATCCCTAATGTGTTCTACAAATGTTGTTGGACTCCAGCTTGACCATCCTTGCCCTAAAGGCAGGCTCATGCAGGTTCACTTTCCAATTGATTTCAGCTCAAGGACTGCCACAGACCCAGAGTTCCAGCACTCAGACTGGTCTGCTCCTCTTGTGACAAATCACCTTCGAAACTATGCCTGACATTCCTGGGTGGCCCACCCAATTTTGCTAGAGTTGCTAGCTACAGATGCCCTCATAAGCTCAAAGTGCAGATTCAAATGCTTTTCAACAGTGACAGGCGGGGGGAGGGTGAGAGATTATCTCTGTGCATGTATTATTTCCCTCACCCGCATGCATTATTTCTGCCTTCATCTCTAGAAACTGCAAACATGCAGGCTTTCCCACACAGACAGATTCATGGCAGGTTTCCTCTTCCTTAAATACAGGAGAGCCAGACACACAAACTCCTTTTAACCGCTTTGTTGAATACATGGAATTTTATTTGCTCTAGTATGTAACAGAACATTGTAAAAATGTTATTACTACAGGTTTTCTGGCAAGTTTGTAACAAATGTGCATGGACCCACAGAAATGTAATCTAATTTCATGCAAATCCCCTAAAGCGGAGAGATTAAAACATTATTCAGGCTGCATCCTAAAGGAAAGGATATGAACTGTGCATTTAGATCACACTGAAAACTAATATGGACCCATATTGTGCTAAATAAATTGGGGGACACGTGACCTAGATTATCTGTTAAAAAGCTCCAAACCCTTTGAAGGCTTACACCTTGAAAGCAAGACTTCCCCTGAGCTTCATAAAAGGAAGAAGTAAGACTGCAAACATTAGACCCCATATATAGATGCTTATAAGATCTACAGCTTCTGTGGTTTGGAATCTTCCTTAATCTCTTCTTAAACCCTATAAAATGATACACTACAGGTCCAGTTAATCACTGGCTTCAATCTTCTATTACATTAAGAGCTTTGCAGGAAGTGAATTGAATCTGACAGCTCCTGTTTTTAGTGCTTGTTTGGACAGGATACTCAGGTGCCTGTAGTTCCATGACAATGCAATAGGCAGGTCATCTCCTGCCCAGGGAACCTCCCCAAGTAGAGACAAGAACGAACAGGGGCTACCCTCAAGGCAAAGAAGTGAAGCTGACCCATTAAGCACTTCCTTTGTTCAAGGGGGAAGTGACACAGAAAGGACTGGTGATAACCTGAAGCAGTAGCAAATTGGACTTCTAGACCCTCTACTTCTCAGTGGTCCCAGTCGCCGTAAGTAACAAATATTGAAACTTTGGTTGTACACCTTCAAACTTGTACACCTTCTAGGAGTGACAGGAATGGTGGGCCACTGGGGAAAGCACCTGTGTATCAGTCTCTGAAACCTTATTTCGATATGATCTAAATTCTCCCAAATATGAAAAAGCGCCTTAATACTATAGTAGTAATTTTTCTGAAATGAAATGTTCAAAGTTACAACAGTTTAGGATTTGCCTGCATAGTTCCTCCAAACTCTAGAAAAGTGCTTTATTTACACTTTTGTGCATGTTTACACACTTTCCCTTTCCTTCTCTGTATCACTTGTACACAACTAAGTAGTTTTAGTTTTCAGCTCTTTATCCTTGTGGTCCACAATCATCTTTGATCAGCTTCATATTTTGCACTTGACTTTTCAATAAGACTTAATAGCACAATATATAATATGTTCTCACAAAAATAACCTTTGCTGGGGTAGGAGGAAGAGGTGTTTTGAAGAAGCTATCACAGTGTTTTATATATGGAAATGGCTATGCTCTCTGCTGTAAATAGTTTCAGCTGTGGCTGAAAGCGTGAAACTGTATTTAAGAAGGCCACTGTATTAATGTGAGCCATAGTAGGTTAGAGCCCACTGCAGATCATTGGAAACTTTAGTGTCTTCTAGGGCATATGGGTCAGGACTATATGGTTGGCTGCTGAGCTAGTAAACAGGAGGTGGGCCAGTGATACACTGGAAAGCAGCAGATTCTGTTACTGTTAATACATTTGCAAGAACTGGTGAAATTGCCTTGAGGGTCAGTCTGGATGAGTTCAGCATTGGCAAAGCATTCAGTGCTGGAGAGGAGACTTCAAAGTCTCTCAAGGGCCAGCTCTTCACTGGGAGTGGACAAGTGCTCCAGCTCCCTGCCCAAAGCCAAAGCCCTTGGGACCAAAGTTCTTGGCATAGCAGCCTGCAGGAGAAAAGGTGAAGAGAGACACAGTCAGAGTGTTGGCTATGTGGCAAACCAACAGTTCATACAGCATAAATCACTGAGCAAAAGCAGGAAAATTACACTTCCCTTTTCAGGGGCAAACTACACACATGTAACTTCTCCCACTCCATTTCAAACACTTTCATTATTATTATTATTTTACAAAACACAGCTGTAGAGGCTGCAATCTGTAGCAATTGCATTTAAAAGTTTTAGTGGAAAACCCACTAGAGTCATAGAGATATGAAGCCTCTTCCCACCCACTGTGATTAATAATTTTGTACAACAACAATGAGCATCAGCGATAAGTTACACAAGACAAGAGCATTGCGAGTTGTTTAGGCCTTAAGACACACTGTGCTGATATGAAAAACGTGTTTATATATATACCTGTAGGTATCATTAGATATTATCAAGGTGGGCAAACTGATGAAGGATAGGGGGAATTTATCGGTCTCACTATTACACTGCAAGTCAAGGAACAGTTATAAATAGTAGAGGTTTGCCACCTACGGTTCTATGAAAGCCCTAAATAGCAACTTTTTGCAATTTTGCATCTTGGTCCTCCAAGACCATCTGGAGGGGGACAGAACACCCTTTGCATTAGCATCGCATTTGACACTTTGACCCGTGACTAACCATCACATCTCACTAGAAATCTAACACAAGCAAGACATCCTGAAATATAAATTCTTACCTTTGCAGTAGATTTCACCGTCTTTATCAGCCAAAGTAGTGGACTCTAAACTTTTACCACACTTTGCACATCTGAAACATGCTTTGTGCCATGACTGAGGACAACACAGAAGACAAGATGTTAGGGTGCAAGTAAAAGGATTCACCACAACACTTTTGGCCTCCTACATTAGGTATTGTCAGGTTCTTATTTTTTTAAAGACAGTAGTTCTCACTGGCAATACATGAGGCCGGCAGCCCAGTCACCCATCTTCCCATCCCAAATACTGTTTTGCACTGAAATATTCCAAATTCCTATGGGACGCGGGTGGCGCTGTGGGTAAAACCTCAGCGCCTAGGGCTTGCCGATCGCATGGTCGGCAGTTCGAATCCCCACGGCGGGGTGAGCTCCCGTCTTTCGGTCCCAGCTCCTGCCCACCTAGCAGTTCGAAAGCACCCCTAAGTGCAAGTAGATAAATAGGTACCGCTTTATAGCGGGAAGGTAAACGGCGTTTCCGTGTGCTGCGCTGGTGCTGGCTCGCCAGAGCAGCTTCGTCACGCTGGCCACGTGACCCGGAAGTGTCTCCGGATAGTGCTGGCTCCTGGCCTCTTAAGTGAGATGGGCGCACAACCCTAGAGTCGGACACGGCTGGCCCGTATGCGCAGGGGTACCTTTACCTTTACCTTTACCTTTATTCCAAATTCCTAGTGATCACTCCTAGGTTCTAGCATTTGAAGGTTTGCATGCAACCCAAGGAAGAGAATGGACATACCCCAACTAACTTCATTAATATTCCTATTTATGCTGCTAGCCTTAATCATAATTTAGGGCAAGGAGTTCCAAAGATCAGTGTACACTGCAACAAAAAGATGCCACATTTCTGTCTTGATTCTGCAATAGATTACAAAAATATCTATGCTAATCTGACAGAGGATAAGTTTTGAAGGCTGTTTTGAGCACCTTCACAAAAAGTTGTTGAACACTCAAGAGCTGCTTCTTACAACATGAAGTTCTTACACAGACATAGTTTTCATGGGCAGGATTTGCCTAAGGAGCCTGTGAGTGGAAACCCTGTGCAAGGATTCTGCTTGTGTGATGGGCCTTCTTCCCACCCCCTCCCCATGCCCCCTGCAATTGGCTCAGAGGGCACTGGAAGCAACCCAAGAGGAGAGGAGAGGGGAGGGGAGTGTGATCTGTCTGGCAAGCTGAAATGTTTCCGAAAACAGAACATTCATAATACTGCAACATTAAATTCCACCCCATGCAACAAGTTTAGTGTAAATTGCAATGTGGGAAAATTCCACAAGCGTGTGTTTCACTATGTATGCCCCAAATCAGGAAACCGCAACTGGAAGCGGTTTCCCCATTGCATCCAATGTTTTTGATTTACTCTCACACCAGTGTGTGATTTATGCTCTGAGGTTCAGCTCTTAACAGCAGGCTCTTACCTTTCCAGCTCCAACCACCTTCTCGGCAGCATAGACAGCCTGTCCACAGCGGGGACAGCCATCAGCACCACCCACCTTCTGCGCCATCTTGGATGCATTGGGATTGTTGGTAGGCTGGTGGGGCTGGGGCCTGTGGAGTCCAGACAGGGAAACAATCATTATATGTCTGCAGGTTTGTACACTGTAGAGTCTGCAGGGAAGGAGGATATTGGTGACAGCCAATTCCGTTTGTGGCTATGGAAGGAGTGGGGAACAAAAACAGTGTGCCATCAGTATTCTAGGGACTGGTAAGTTATAGGATAGTGTTGTTCCCAAACTTCCATTTTTGCTGGTGAATGCCAGGTCAGTGTGCTGCGTACCATGGGGCATTGGGGACAAGACCACATAGTTTGTTTACATCACAGAGATCTGGCAGGATGAGAATCTGGTCTGGTACTCATCCAGATAATTTCAGTCATATACTCAATACAGCAGTAGTCAGGGACTACAGCTTAGGAGAGGGTGCAGAAATTGCGTCATTCCAAAAGATAGAGTGCCCAAGTTTGCTTTTTCACCTTCTAAAATATCCATATTTGGCACAGTTATCGCTAGACAGGGCCTTATTCAAGCTGGCACTTGTAATCAAGGTTAACCTGGGAAAAAGAGGATTTGGGACTTGTTTTGTTGGCTTTTGTCTAGATTATAGATAATGCCAATACGTTAGGGTGTTTAAGAGGGGGCAGGCTGCACATTTAAATAACCAGAGTGCTGCATTTTTTCTGCACCCAGAAGCACTTGGGAATTGATCAAGTCCCCATATTAAAACTGTTGCCAGTCATGGGGATTTTCCCCATATATGAGAGAGCATTGTGGTATTTTAATCAAAAGCAGCATTGGGTCAGAATTATCTCTGAATTATAGGGACTTCTCCAGAAGTAACTCCCCCTTCTGCACGAGCAAGAAATAAAATCTTCACCTAAGACAAACAATATGATCACACTTGTTACCAAGATGCAGAAAGATTTACAACTTACTGCTCAGGTTTGATCCCAAGTCCTTCCCCCCTGTCCATGCTCAGAGTCCCTGCTCCCTGTCCAAATCCATAGCCTTTTGGTCCATACTTTTTCCCATAGCATGACTTGCAGTAGATTTCTTCTCCATGCACAGCTACTGTGGTGCTGTCCAAGTTCTTTTTGCAAACCACTGCAAGGAAGGGAGAAGGAAGAGACAAAAGTCAGAAGGCCTTCAGAAGTTTTAAGTATCAGACCTGCTTTCTCCAAGGAGATACCTGAGGAGATTTGTGGGTAGCCATTACCTGCAGTGCCACAGAGAATTAGGGTCAAAGTACAGACGACACTGAAGAGCTACTGTCAAGATGATGATGATGATGATGATAATTTATTTATACCCCGCCCTTCCCGGTTTAAAAACCGGGCTCAGGGCAGCTAACAGCAAATATAAAACATTGATTAAAATGTGACTTAAAAATGGCATAAAACAGCATAAAATACAACATCAATAAAATTCAAAAATTCAGGGGTCATTTTTTTGGGGGGCGGAACCCAGTCAGTAGACATCAAATGATCACCAGGGCTAACTGGCCAAGTTGGTCCTACTAGGGCCAGCAAGGAGACCAGGGAAGAATTTAAATGTGGGGTCCCAGAAATGGTTTCTTCATAGAAGAGGAAAGGGAATAGAGGATCAGGGTAATTCAAATTGAAGGCCAGGCAGAATGGCTCTGCCTTACAGGCCCTGCGGAAGAAGATCAAGTCCTGTGTGTGTTCGCGGGGGGGTGGAAATCCTCCTCTCCTAGATGAAAAGGTGACGGTGCTGGGCTCAATGGCTCCATCCAAGGACAGCCCCAGCAAGTTACCATGATGAGCTGTGGAATACCATTTAATTTGGACATAATTGACAAGTGAAGAGGCACCCCCCCCCCCCGGAAAAGATCCTGATTTATGCTGCAGGAGAAAACCAAGTTGGTCCTACTAGGGTTTGGAAAGAATGAAAGACGCTTATTTCTGCTTTGCTTGAGAGGTGGAAGGAGGGGAGGGGAGGCAATATTTTAAGTCATTTTGGGAGGGTCTGCATTATCTACTCTCCCCTAAAGCAATGGAATGTAAAGTTTTGGGGAAGAGTGACTTTAAAAATACATCTTTGGGTACTTCTATAACTAAGGACTTTGCCTGAAAGAAGATGGAGAGGAACAACCTTAAGGGACTTTGAGGGACTTTGACCACTCCTTTGAACTTCGTATTATGAAATTAAAATAACAAAGAAGAAAAGTTTGGGAACAACTGGATTGATTGTCTGATAAGCACGCGGAAGAGAATAAACTGTGGAGTTGGATGTAATGGAACTGAGGATTGGCAGGATGGACTGCAGGAAGAATTATTAGTTTAGGGGGGAGAATGGAGAGAAGATATGGATTTTCTTGAGATTATATCAACCCCACCCCCTTGAAGCTGGAAATAAGAACAGTGAAAGAGACAGGGTGGACCACAGTGCATACCATCCTGATGGCATCTGAGACTTTCAGACAGAAAAGAAGAGATATGGATTATGTTTATTAATGATTTATTAATTAACTGTTTGTATGTAAAATGCAGGATTAAATTTTGGCAAAATGTGAGGGGTGGGTGACACTGGGAGATTGGTAGTGTGAGGGGGTGATGTATATTATATATTTATACCCCCCCAAAATTCTAGGGGTTTCATTTTCACCCTCTGCATGCAGCACCAGTGAGGCTGAGTTGTTGATTACTGGGGCAAGATGTCAGACAGCAATGCTCAAGGCCCTGTTAGGGAAGAATGTGTGCGTGTTGTCTGGGAGGAAGCAAGATCTGTTTTTCTCAGGCAAAGTGTTACCGTATTTTTCGTCCCATAGGACGCTCCGTCCCATAGGACGCACCTAGTTTTTTGGGGGGGAAATAAAGGAAAACTTTTTTTCCTTTATTTCCCCCCCAAAACCAGGTCGGGGAAACTGAACCAGGTTGAGGAACAGCGGGATTGCGGCGCTGCGCCTCCCTGCTGTCCCCGAGCTTGTGGGGCTGGCCGATGTCTGCCTAGCGCGCGTGGTGCTCTGCTTCAGGGTGCCCCGCGCGCCGGGTGGCAGGCTGCTATCTGACCCGTGGGGAGCCCTGCGGGGAACTCCTGCAGGGCTCCCCACGCTGCGGATGTCTGCCCGGCGCGAGGGGCGCTCTGCTTCAGGGCGCCCCTCACACCGGGCGGCAGGCTGCTATCCGCAGCCTAGACAGCCCTGCGGGACCTCCCGCAGGGTTGCCTAGGCTGCGGATGTGTTCCCGAAGCGCCGGGCGCTCTGCTTTCAGCGCGCCCGGCGCTCCGGGAAGCAGGCTGCGGATGTCTTCCTGAAGCCTGGAGAGCAAGAGGGGTCGGTGCGCACCGACCCCTCTCGCTCTCCAAGCTTCAGCGAAAGACTGCATTCGCCCCATAGGACGCACCCAGATTTCCCCTTCATTTTTGGAGGGGAAAAGGTGCGTCCTATAGGGCGAAAAATACGGTACTCAAGAGGTATCAGAAGGAAATGTTTCAAAATTGATGAATGACTATTACAGATAGATAAAAGAGGATTTACTCTACTCAACTATTTTGAGGACAGTTTATAACAATGTATAAAAGCCACAGCAAAAACTGGTAATTGAACAGGCGGTGTGTAGGGAGAAGGGATGACTGTATCATGAAATGATAGTTGGAAAAGTTATTTTATTGGGAGCAGGAAATGAGGGAGGAAAACATCTGGGGTGTGTGGGAAATCAGCTTTTAAATTTGTATTGAATTTGTAGTAATTTGTATTAATTTTGTGAAAATTTTGTTAAATATTATTGAAAATCAATAAAAAATTATTGAAAAAGAAAATTGACAGAGCTTTCCAACTGCAGACAAGGATGCTTCTGCCTGGGCTATCCAGTATCTGACAGCTTCACTGTTGCACACAAACATATTTCCCTCTCTCAAATGCACATTCAGACCTCAGCATCACTCATACTGGTGTCCTCTCTTAACCCTTGCCTTGATTCTAGGGTCAGAACTGCAGAGGGTGAGGAGAGGAGAAGAACGATGGCCACAAGGATAAGGGGGATCAGAACTGAGGCCAAGAGCTAATGTTATGTTTCTCCCAGCTGCAAAGGAATTAGAGCCTTGAGTTCTATATTGTCCTTAAAGAGAGAGAGAAGATGTTGAGACTGCCAACAGCAGTCAAGTTTTAAAACCTCAGGAGGCTGGAGTTTGCCTCTTAGCCCAAAATAAAATTGTCTTACTCTTAAAGAATGCGAAAACAAAACAGAGCGCTCCCCTAGGAATGCCACAGTAGCAACAGTAGCAACAGCCTATACCTTGCAACTAAATATGGGTCTCCGAGACTGAATATCCCATCCTCATCACCAAATATGGTACTATTTTCCTCTGACTGGTCTAGCCCTCCAGCAGAGAGAATTAATAGGAGGAGGAGTGTCAAGATGTGCTGCCATCAAAAACAGCTTACATTTCTTGGAGTGGAGTTCCAAAACTTGCCTGGCCTGGATGTCTTGTACAATCACTACAAGTTAGGCTCAGCTATTTTGAACAGTGTGTCATATTGGGCTGCTGGGTCATTATAGCAATCTTAAGGGGAATCAGCTTTGATCAAAGATACTTGGTTCTCTGTTTCTGGTGAAGGGGATTGAAGTGTGTCTTCTTTCCATTCAGAGTTTTGCCCTCTCCATATCAAAGGCCCCTTTTGCTCAGCCCTATATACACATCTTTGAGAAGCCACTGCCAAATGCCTCGCTAAGATGCCATTCTCAATTATTTGAAATCAGGATGTTAGCCGAAGTTCTGAAGCAGATTCCATACCAATGAGCTCAGAAAAGCTAAAAAGGACTAGGTTTGGGGTTGTTTGCAGATGACAGCTGTTTAGCGTATCCACACACTTCAAGAAGAATCTGGTGTTTGTTTTGATGTAACCCAAGCCCACCACTTACCGTATTTTTCGCTGTATAAGACGCACCAGACCACAAGATGCAACTAGTTTTTGGAGGAGGAAAACAAGAAAAAAAATATTCTGAATCTCAGAAGCCAGAACAGCAAGAGGGATCGCTGCGCAGTGAAAGCAGCAATCCCTCTTGCTGTTCTGGCTTCTGTGATAGCTGCGCAGCCTGCATTTGCTCCATAAGACGCACACACATTTCCCCTTACTTTTTAGGAGGGAAAAAGTGAGTCTTATAGAGCAAAAAATACGGTACTTACACTTACATGCTCTGCAATGCGTCACTGATTAACTATGTTGCTCTCTGTTGTAATCAGTCGAACAGGAACTGATTCACTGCTGGTGTGTTCCCTTTACTCTCATTCAGAGCAAATGAGGCCCCTTCTCAGTAACTGTCCAGGAAGCCGATATGTTTAGGAACTTCTCCTCCCACCCCCCCCCCCCACAAACAATGGAGCTTGGGTCTTATTTGGAACTGGTAAAGGCTAATGGGTTTGATGAGCTACATCCTTTTTTATTTTAAGGGTTTTGATTTATCAAGTTCTCTTGACAGTTTACTGATTAAGACTCTGCTTAGTTTATATTCAGAGGAATGTTAATGGTGATTTCCTGCCATGCAATATTCTTCACTGTTTGTTCCAAACAATGCACTGCTCTGTTTATTTTTAACAGAAAAGTGGTATAAAAGTTTCATAAATAAATGACTTGGCAATTTTATTCTGTCTCATCTCTCTTCACATTTGTAACATGGCTGGTAATGCAGTTCATTGTTTGTGGATTGGCAACCCTCCAACGTAGACTTTGGCTCTCTGGTGAACAAATGGTGTGATCTTTGGGTCTCCCAGTTCCCCAAGCCTGGAAGTGTTCTTATTTGAGGCCATAATATCTGCAAGTCCACAAGTGTTCAGTTACTTGCACAGACCATTGGTCCATCTAGTTTTGTACTGTCTGTAAACTGTCTGGCATGGCTCTTCAGGGTTTCAGGCAAGGTTCTCTCCCCAGCCCTACCTGGAGATGTTGGGGAATGAACCTGACACCTTCTGCATGCAAAACAGATGCTCTATGACTGAGCTATGGCCCTTCCCCAGGAGCTGCAGCTCTTCCCCTACTTCAGACATTTCCCCCCTGTAGCTTTGCTTAAGGTTGATGTAAAAATTAGATCTCCACACCCACATTATACATTATACAGGCAAGTCACTTGAACAACAGATGAGACTGCTCCTATTAAGTCTCCTTTGTTAGGGTCAAAGTGAGTTTATGTGGTCACAGGGACCAGAGGTTGGTACACATTGTGCAGTAAGAGAGCAGCACAACTTTTGTTTTAAGATGTCCATAGCTGCAGTAAAAATCACATTTTCCAGCTGCTAAACTAGAGAACAGCTGTTGCCCCAGGTCAACACAGTCCCATCACAGAGGGCATTTCCTTCAGTGCTTTGAGATTAGCAGATTAGCCGCATTTCCTTTCACCAGCTATTGTTTAGTTTATTCACAACCACAGCAAGCTGAAGCATATACAAGATTCTCAGAGGCGGAACACACAAACATAGGAGGTCATCAGACACACAGCGCATAAGAAAAGACAAAACACAGCATTAGTGTGAAGATAAGCCTAACATTGGATGCAGTAGAGAGCAGAGCACAAGAACAGAAAGCTTTTTATTTTATTTAAAAAACAACATCCAAGTCAACACCAGCTGGCTAAAGAGGCTCTACATTTGACATTCAGCTTCAATAGGCAGGGCCTATCAGGTTTAAAATTCTGGCTATGAATTCACTGTCAATTAGAATGGAGTTACAGAGAGAGCGAGATCCATTGCCATTATGAAACAATTTAATATAGAACCTTTTAACATCTATGACTAGCACTACAGTGCATGGAAATTTAATGGTTGTGCTTGCAGAGTACAGGGACTGTAGGGCAGAGTAGGACAGAAAGCTTTTGAATTACATGGAACACTTACTCCTGCCTGATTAAGAGTTCCATGCAACTTGAAAGCAGGCTCCCATATCTGTTAACACAGATGACTCAATAAAAAGGACCGTCAGAAACCTTCTTGTATGAAATAATAGAGCAGGAAAACTTTCATGACATTTCTGGCCATCAGTAGCACTTTACAAGTCTGATTTCAGGATTCAAAAAACTTTCACTAGTTGAACTTGCAAAATAACTTGAAACATGAGCTAATAATTTGAACACTGGCATATGTAATGTACATGAAGAGATCAACAATGTTCCAGCTTTCAAACTCATCTGATAAAAGATTGGTAAATATGCAGGAAGTTTAAAAAGTGCTTTTAAGAACTTTTTTTTTCCTCCAATTTTTGAACAGTCATATTACATGTTCCTTTGCAATCTGGGGGGAAATGACTGGCGTGCTTTACTCAGGGTTACTAGAGAAGGCAATCCTTCACTGTTTTGGGGGGCATTCTGAGCAGCAGATTTGTACTGCCAAAACGTGGTTGTGCATGCACAGTTCAAAATCTGAAGCAAGAATTCTCAGGGTACTGCAGAGATTCTGGTGGGAGCCACAGTGAATGCTACAAGCAAGGCTTATCCCTTTAGACAAGGTAGATACTTCCTGGGTTGCTGGGACTACTGGACAGGTGTACAAAGTGGAAAGCAGTTTGGTTAGAACAGGGGTGTTGCTAACCTCTTTTTGAGCAGTGGGCCACTTTGACTCTTCAGGCCCTATGTGGTAGGCATGGACAGTTTTCAAGATTGCCTTTCAAAGAATTTTCCATCAGCTACCTACACTATTTTAAGACAATCTTTAATCATTTTTTAAACTTTTTTTTATTAAATTCAGTAAACAAAGAGATTTGGAGGGGCTTGGGAAGCACACACAAAAACTCCTATGGCATCACAGCAAGACAGCCAGTAGAGAAGTGGATGAATTTTTTAATGACGAATTGGGGACACAAAAATCTTTTGGGGGCTGGATACAGCCTATGGGTTATTAGTCCCCCCCCATTGGAATGTTGCTGCCCAGGAGCTCTTGGCCATGTACACGATTCTCTTTCATGTACATAATTTATATTCACAGCACCCCTGTGAGTGTGAGCCAGATCATGTGGCAAAATACATGACATGTGTTAAGCAGCTCAGCAGTCAAAATACCAGGCCCTACTACCTGCCGACCTTCCACTGTAGCTCTACAGTACTCCTGTCCAAAGAGCAGAGGCAGTGTTGTATAGTAGTTAGACTGCAGGACTTCCTTACAGAGAGCTAGTTTGCATTGGCAAACCATTGGCAGCAAAACAGCAAAGCCAAATTGCAACATATTCCCTACTAGCTGCTGAAGAAATCCCAGAATTTATTTACCATGTTGGCAAGAGTATTGTGCATGTCTGCATGAAAAGAAAATCAGAGACATCCCTGGGGCTGCCATACTCACTGCATAAGAAGCAGGATTTGTGGAAACTGTTGCCTTCACATTGCACCTCCTCGGCAAAGTACACTGTTTTCTGGCACACGCCACACTTTTTTCCTCCACCCCAATTCGGCATCCTGTAAAGGGAACAAATGGGGGGGGGGATGTAATTGACTGAAGACAGGGGAACTGGGGTAGCACAATGAACTTACCACAGGACTGGCCCACCCATGAGGCAAGGTGAGGCAACCGCTTCAGGTGGCAGGATCCACAGGGGCAGCAGATCCTGATGTGGATCTTTATTACCTCTTTGTTCCTTATATAGATCTTCACCCATCCCTTATTCCATGGCAAAGAGGGCGGCATCACTTTGTCATTTGCATCGGTGCCCAAATGTATTGGGCTGGCCCTGACTTACCAGTTGCCAAGAATGCATTCAAATAACCCATTAAAACCCAATAATCAACCTGCATGAAGCTGTGAAAAGAATGGTTTGCAGACTTTATTGATGTGGCAGAAAGTACCTTTACTGCAGGCCATAGTGTGTGGACCCAGATAAACAGCTCGCATATTTCTATAACTAAGGGTGTTGCCACATCATTAGCCCCATTCCTGCCACCCTTATTTGGCTTGCTCTTTGTATTTCCTGCACACACTGGTTTTTATGCATTCACAGCACACTCATTTTATGATGGAGGTGGGTGTTTATGTCAGGCATAGGCAAACTCGGCCCTCCAGATGTTTTGGGACTACAACTCCCATTATCCCTAGCTAACAGGACCAGTGGTCAGGGATGATGGGAGTTGTAGTTCCAAAACATCTGGAGGGCTGAGTTTGCCTATGCCTGTTTTATGTTGCTGACTTTAGTACATTGCAGACATGCACTAAAGAGATCTAGAGCTGCACTGGCCTCTGATGTCAGTAGCTTCCTTCACTTGGCTCCCTGTCTTCCACATCGAGCTTCTATTCCAAGAATGTTGAGGGAGGAAATTAACAGTGGGATAATGAGAAATACCACATGCCTGTAATACCCCTCCCTTGCCTGCAAGAGTCACTCACTGGAATTAATGGCACAGATTCAGAAGGCTTCTGCCAGTTTGTATATTGTGTACAGTCTTGCTGCATAAGTTACACAAATTTCCAACTATGTTTTAAATAGTAGATTTCTACAGATACCCAAGTCTCATTGCTTTCACATTTCTGAAATAAAGAGTGGGGATGAGGGAAGTTCTAGTAGGATTACCACATTACAGTTTAAGAGATTCACATTATGTCTTTAGACACCACGGTAGTGCCAGGAACAAGGAACCCAATCATTCCACCCACCCATCCGTCTGTCTTTCACCCTAAGGCCCTTGTGTAGGTTACAACATTAAAACAACTTACAATGACAGAAATAGGATGGATCCTAAAAAATATACATCTCAAGTGTCAAAAGCCAGGGTAAAGCGATATATCTACATTTGTCAGAAGCTGTATAATGAAGGTGCCAGATACACCTTGGTGGGGAGGGAGGTCCACAATTTAGGGGCTCCCACGGAAAATGCCCTCTCCTGGACCTCCACCACCCCAAGCTTATGAAGGTGGAGACCTCTGCTGATTTTAGCACCTGAGGTGAAGCAGAAGGAGAATGTACAAAAGGAATGGGGGCCTGGAAGAAGCGGAAGAAACGGCCTCAGTTTCATTAGGCATTTTAAGGGCAGACTGTTGCAACTCTGTTCTTGCTGCTTTGAAGATCTGGATAGCAAAGCTCAAGGTAAAGCATTTCCTGTGAATTTGCTTCCTGCAGAATAAATGGCCTTTACCTTAATTTTGCGTGACGCAAGGAGGCTGCTACCTTAAGATATAGCACCAAGTGGCTCAGAAATGATAAGCCATCCATGTGCCAAATCTGTCCAAGGTAGCTTTTAACCTAGAAGGAAAGAAGTCTTATGATCCAGGCACAAGGCCAATACTCCAGTGATACATTCTCTTCCATGATGTGCATAAACCCACCAACTCCTCATAAAAGGACGGAAAAAATAAAACAGAAAGGTGTGGTTAGAAATATGGAGCCAAGGCCAAAAATAAACAGATAAGGAACACGGAATAGAGCAGTGCATGGCTGAAGAGTGCAGGAAGTCTCATTTTCTGAATTAGTGATATACAGTATCAATCTGATGTTAGCAGTATTTCTTAAGCTTCTCTGGCTGAACTTAGAGAACTAAGAACTGAAGAGGAAGTCCATCTTGATCATGTCCACATGGTTCAAGAAGGGACACCCCCTCTCTTATCACAAAACTACTGTGCCATCAAGTCAGCTGTCTTAAGAACTGTGTGGCAGGAGCTGACTGGTCCTCCCAGCCTCAATCCAATCTGGGAGGAATGGCAAGACACCCAGAACTGCCACTTACATTGGTGAGGGCAGAGGGCACCTCCATCAAGCAACTCCATCAAGCCCTCTCCTACAAGGGTTGTGATTACAATGAAAGCAGCTTTACAAAGAAAGAACTGTGTGGCAGGAGCTGCCTTGTCCTACTGGCCTGGACATTGTCACCAGCTCTGCTCCTGGATCTGGCCTGAGAAGAAGACTATTTCTGGGGATGGACAGCCAGAATTGCCACTGACATCAGCTGTAACTTTATGAACTTGTGCTTGAACTTGCCTTTTCCTCTTCCCTCCCATTCCCTTTTCTTTGTGTGCCATGTTATTTTGGATTGCAAGCCTGTGGGCAGGGACTGTCATAGAACTGGTGTTTGGAAGTCACTCTAAGAAGTTTGGAAGTCACTTTCCAACGAAAAGGTGTAGTATAAATTCTGTAAATAATTAATAAATGCCTAAAAACAAATACACGAAGTGGATTCTCCATGCAGAGGCCCAATTGGTACAATTTGTTCTTCTGATGAAAAGGGGAAGAGGTCCTGAACTTGATATACATCTAGAGTGCCCAGATCACACTTTTAAGTGAGACAGCTTATACTAAAAATTTAGAATATTATGTTTTTGCAAAGCAAAGCTGAACATCTCTCTCTCTCTCTCTCTCTGTCTCTCTCCTATCATCCATTGGAATGAGAAAGCAGCTTGGTTAAGCACCTTCTTTTTACTGACAATGCAAAATAACCCAATATATATTTGCAGTTCTGCCTTTTGTGAGTTGGATAACTCCTTGTTCAACAATATAACACCTCTTCCAAACCAGAAGCATAAAAAACAGCAGTGGCAGCACTAGGCACAAACAAGGCAAATCAGGTCATGTCACATGTGGAGGCCAGGTGCTCAGGAGGACAGGGAGCCTGCAGCTTGGATAGTTGCATAAACAAGAGGAGTTCAGCAGGTGTACCTGTGTAAACAAGGGGATTTCAGCTGGTGTAGCATTTTCCATCCCAGCACAAGTCACACCTGTTGAGATTTCCGCTTTTGCACAACTGTTAAAAGTACAGTAGCCCTTTCTCCATTCAACTTGCCTAATTTAAAGGCTGTTTTTAGGCATCTGTATCTATCTGCCTATCTCCCCAAGTACAATTGCTCATACTCATAGTCTGCCCTCTTGAGCAAAGGGCTGCAGACCCTGGCTTAAGTGTACTGGCTGATCTGCAAGTTGCTGCTGCCTGAGAAGCTCACCCAGTTCTGAAGAGTTCCTTTCCAAAAAAAATAACAACAAACACTGGACTAAGGTTGGGAGATTTTGCAGCAACTGAGGAAAAAGGAAAAAAGCAGTTTTATCAAAGCACCTTTTTAAAATATTTCCCTCAGTTGTCTGTCTCAGCCTTCCCACCTCAATATCCTGCAAACTAGCTTTTCACGTTCTGTATCCCTCCCTCGCTGCCAAGTACGGTAATTCCAGCTAGGAGCCTTGGATTGCCTTAAAAGGAAATGTGGCTCAGACTCTCTCTCATTTCTTTCTGCTGGGGCATAGCCCAGCAAGCTGAGCAGGAAGGAGGCCAGCCCTGGCTTTCAATAAAATGGAGTGTCCCTACAGAACAGCACCTTTCAGTGCTACACAGTGTACGATGGGAGCATAATTAGATTGTCTATGCTATCTTCAGCAGCTGGGGGTAAAGCCCTGATCTCTGCATGCTCCAAATGCAGGGCTGTTCAGATGGTGCAAAGGAGGGCAAGCCCTCTCATAGCTGTGTCAGAGAAGAAGCTTCTGCACATGTGGTTTTTCTCATGACAAGTTTCACCTGCAAAACTTCCTTTTTTGGGGTTCAAGACTGGTTAGGAATACATAATGCTACTTGACTGACAACCACTCACTCATTGCACATTATCATTGGGTGTATTGGGTTTAGTTCAAGACGTTTCTCCAGCCACTGAATATTATTGACCAGATACTAAATCCAGGCTATCAATAATCTGCAGACCAACAGTATCAGTGAACAAAAATGCAAAGAGAAAATATGTGGGATTGTGCCTTGCCAGTGAGAAGTCCTCAATTTGCAAGATTCTTCTGGAGTTATCTTTAACCTGGCCAGGATATCACACACAGTTTTATTTGGATCTGATCTACGCATCTCCAAATTGTCATCATTTTATTTGTAGTGATTTAATCAATAGCTAGATTACAGTTGCTAGGATTAGCACCAAATTACAGCACTAGTTTACCAGGGGGAAGGGAGAGGCTATGAAGTCAAAAACAGAAGAGGCTTAAACTTGACCTGATTAACTAGATGCAGCTAGACATATCCTGAAATAAATTGAATCCAGCAGCACATTCTAGAGGTCACAATCTTATTACTGCTATTGCTATTGCTACTACTACTACTACTACTACCACTACAACTCAAGTTCCAAATTATTAACTAGAATAACTGAAAAGAGATGCATTTATACAGAGTCAGATATTGGACCATGTCTCCTGACCCAAGATCCTTTAACTCAGGAATGAATAAGTAACCTGTGGCCCTTGCTTGACTACAGCTTCCATCGTTCCTGACCATTTGCCATGCTGTCTGCAGCTTATGGGAGTTGATGTCCAGCAACATCTGAAGGCCCATAGGATTTCCTGTTCTAACTGGAATCGCCAAGTACCAAACCTGGGCCCTGCTCTATACAAAGCATGTGCTCCCCAACTCAGCTGTGACTCCCAACAGCTTCAGGTTCCAGGAAGAAATATAAGGCTGTGAGCAAGGATAAAGCTTAAGTGAAATAGAAGATTAATTAGTTAGATGATTCTGCATGTGAAGCATTCTCAGCAGCGCTGCTTTAAAATAGTCACAGCATATAATATTTCAACAACCAAAGCTTTATTCTATGCTTCCCACAAATCTTAAGTATCTGTTCCATCCAAACAACACTGCCAATGCCAAACAAGTAAAAGATTGGAAGATGTGGGGAAAAGCAGCTCTTAAGTTAACCTATCTTAAAATGCAATGAGAAAAAGGGGTATGTATCGAGAAGCTTAGGTGTGTCAAACAACTCCACTAATAAAAGAGGATTCAATAAGGTTTGCTAAGGTAAAAAAAAAAAACCTGCTCCAATCCAGAAATACATATATAGCAGTACATGGCCTATGAGCAGCTGTATGAACTTAGCTGCTTCAATGGTTATCAGCTTAAAATGCACCAATTTTGGGTTGAGTTATGGCCTGAGTTTGCACTATCCTCTCTCCTCAAGGGGACAGCTAAATTTGCTCCCTCCGCCAAGTAGAAGATTGAGGCTGTCAGCTTTGAATGGCCCTAACATTTTTTTGCACTCTCCACAGGGTTCCTATGCACATGCACACTGCTCTCACTGGATTGGGGTTGCTTGTGTGTAAAGAGTACTGGAACTAAACACAAACTCAGATAAAGCAAAGTATTGTGATCCATCACTGTAATACTTAAAACTATTAAATAACTAACTTTAACAAATATTTCACATTGAAAACAGAATTAATATGACATATACTGGGTGTCATAAAACTGAAGAACCAGATAGGTACCAATCTGCCACTGGACTCACTGGTTAGCTTTTTAGGCCAAGTCTGATCTGGGGATTTGGAGACAGTGACTCATATTTTAAGAACGGCATAAATGGAAGAAGATAAACCAACTTTCCATAGATGAATAGAGTTGTGGGATATGCCTCTTTCAATTAAAACTCACAAATATGATAAGTGGTAGAAAGGGGAGGTATAACACAAGGTGGCCCTACTCTATTTTGGGATGGGTCTGAGTACCACTATTCTATTAGGAAATAACTATGTTTTTTACAATAAACACCATATGGTCAGTAGTAACATACTTAATTTAAGTTAACACTAAGTAAACTATTTGTAAATTATTTATTGTCTTCTCTTACTCCACTCATTAGTTATTGCTTCTTCTAACTCTTGTTTCCCTTATATTATCTTTCAAAAGTAGATGATATATTAGTGTGCAAACTGCTGTTGTGTTCCTTTTGTTATTTCTGAAATTAAAAAAAACTGATTAAGGATTTGTCAGGATTGCTATTGATATAGTTTACTCACAGTGGTTTGCTTACGGCGAAAACACCGTACAAGGATATATATGACGGCAGGATATTCCTTTAAGTAATGATTTTTAAAATTGCTCCTTTTAAATGATAATAAAGTTGAGATAAGAGTGTTATGAAACATTTGAAAATATATTTGGCAATAATATCTGATAACCAGATTTCCTAGTTACATGGAGTGGGATGCACCTAACTAGGCTTCTGTTTGCGCAATGGGGTTCACCACCCCATTCGCCCTCTGAAATTGGCCCTCTGGGGTTGGGAGAATCCCCAGAACAGTGCACAGGGGGGAAGGGGATCATTCTGTCTGCCAAGCCAAAATGCTTGCAGATATGGCATTTCTCATGGCATTATGTTGAATTGCACACATTTTTAATATGCATAGGGTGTAGATATATTGTATTTTGTAAACAATCTACACCAACATAGTTCCATATGGTATGAAGGCTTATATGTAGTCCTCAGCACTTTGCAAATAGAGATCAGCAGTTCAGGGACAGCCATCAAGACACCCAATATATGTAATCTAAACCTAAATACTTTCCCAGAAAGATGGGAAGCACCTGAATACATTGTTATGGTCCCACTGCAATAATAAAGAAGTACAAGGGTGACAACAGAAGCAGGTCAAACGCAGTCGGAACTTTCCACTCAATCAAAATGACACACTAAACATTTTGCGCCAGGCAGGAACCAGCTATGTTTAAGCAGAAATTGTTGGTTCATTTCTAAAAATAATGTGTCAATAAGCATACAGATATGGGTGATCCAGTATACACTGTACACAATATACAGACTTTAAAAAAGTTTTTGACAAAGTTCTTACTGGAGACTTCTGAAGAAGCTTAGCAGTCATGGACTAAGAACACCTGTCCTCTTATAGATAAGTAAAGAACAGGAAGCAGAGAGAAGGAATAAATGGACAGTTCTGACATGGAAGAGTGTAAAAAGTGTGATTTCCTGAGGAACAGTATTGGAACATTATATATATAAATATATACACACATACACATACATACAGTTGGGGGAAGGGGCAGCCGGTCACTGGGACAGCAGGAAGTTAAGAATCATGGTTATGCCGCAGCTGCTGCTTATCTAGTTAGATCAAAATCATTGTTTACAGTTTTTAAATTAATTCTTTGTTCTATTCAAATGGTGGCCTTCCCTTCTTGCCTGTCAAATCCTATTGCACCCAGCTACAGAAATTATGTGGTTCGACGCTGAACGGTTGATGAATTGAAACAGGAAATTTATCTTTCCACCCTCAGTAAGATTATGACTGTTTATAGTCTCCCACACTACATAAGGAAGTAGGCTTTATCTAAACTTTGCATTCACAAGTATCAATTGCATATCAGTATTTCTATTTCCCATGGCTGTATGTCTAATCTAAAAGACAATTGCCAGAACGTATAATTTTAAAATGGATTATCCGATGCTTTCCGGATGTTTACATTATCATTTGGAAGGGATTCCTTCTGAGCTATGAGTCACCACCTGCAAAAGCACAATAGGAGTAGAACACTCAGAGGCTGAGCCCACTGGGAATATATCCAATACTAATATGGGAGAATCATCCATCTATCAAGGGACCAGAAAATATAGCTGCAGCAAATTTGGTTTAGGTTCTCCCCCCTCCCCCTGTATGCTTGGACACAACATGTCATGAGACTGAAGGCAGAGGGAGAGAACTGTAGAGGGGAAATTTCACAAAACAACAATGTGATTATGAGATCAGCCCTCATCCATAATGCTCAGGAAGAAGCTGCAGGAGTTGCTTGTACCACAAGCTACTTGATTACAGCAGGTAATGGAAGTTCAAGCTGAGCAAGACGCAGGGCAGATTGTGACTTCCTTTGCAGCTCAACAATTTTTTTCAAAAGAAGAAGAAAGTATTCTCAGGTGGGGGAAGTTTGCTCCTCTTCAAATCATGTATATTTGCATTATGACACCACTAAACCAGTCACAAGATTCTCATATGTTTGTTGTTGGATGCACTACAGGGCATACACTGCAGGTCAGCTGCTGGAGTTTCAGAATAGCACTGATCTGTGCTAAACTGGCAGAATAAAAAAATGCATTGAAAGGAAATATTTAATGAAGCATGAGATCGCAACCACTAAGTTTAACAGCAGCAGAGGGTGGCCTGATAAATGGCACTATAGAAAAACAAAGAGATTAACTGTACATCCCTATCCATAACAAAATTAAAGTAATTGGATTTAACCCACTTTAGACCCATTAACGTTAATGGGATTCATCACAGTTTATAAGTAAGTTAAGTTAGAGCTGGTAAGTGAGAACCAAATAATCTGTACAAATGTGGGGGAAAGCTGGAATGACATCCACTGCCTGGGGTTGGGAGCCTGTGGCTGTTTTGAAGACCACAACTCTCATCATCCCTGACCATTGGCCATGCTGTCTGGGGGTGATGGTAAAAAGGTAAAGGTAAAGGACCCCTAACAGTTAAGTCCAGTCACAGACGACTCTGGGGTTGCGGCACTCATCTCGCTTTACAGGCCGAGGGAGCCGGCATTTGTCCGTAGACAGTTTTTTCGGGTCATGTGGCCAGCATGACTAAGCTGCTTCTGGTGCAACGGAACACCGAAACCAGAGCAGCTCACAGAAATGCCATTTACCTTCCCGCCAGAGTGGTACCTATTTATCTACTTGCACTTTTTTGGCATGCTTTCGAACTGATAGGTTGGCAGGAGCAGGGACCAAGCAGCGGGAGCTCACCCCGTGGCGGGGATTTGAACAGCCAACCTTATGATTGGCAAGCCCAAGAGGCTCAGTGGTTTAGACCACTAAATGTTCCTGTTCCTGTTCTAGTCTGTCAACTGCAGCTTCTGAAGAAAATCCCCATGCTTCCTTAAATGTAAATTGCAACAGCATCGTTCTAAGGCTCAGTCACATTCATGACTTGGGGGCAAAGAAAAAAAAGAAAAGGCAGTAAGTAGTTGCGGGACATACTTTTCAGGGCCCAGAATTAGAAGTTCCAATGACGAGGGGATATGGGGGGAATTGGGAGACTGCCTCGTCCTTAAGGGAGACAATCCTCATAAGTCTGCATTATGAAAGTGTGGCTGGGGTACAGGGACATACCCACGTGTTGGCCAGGTTGGTCTCCACCTTGGGAGTAAACCCAAAGGGGAGCAAAATCGTGCCTCTCCACTCTGGCTCAGAGTGGCCAGGAGCCTGCCAGCCCTTCGGCACGCTCTATGGTCTGCTCCTCTGCTGATCTGGGTGGCAGGCAAGTGTGCAGGCTCCTCTAGGCACCTTGGTAGAGGAATCCAGTTGTTGGTGTGGGCCATCAGAGCAGCCCTGTGGGCCCCCCCTGCCCAATTGGCCAGCGGCTTTATTTGAAATGTGAGGTTAGCACCCACTGGAGCTTGGAGGGAAGAAAGAGTGGGCAAGAGTTGCTGGAGGAGGAAAAATGAAGGAGGAGAGGAGCAGAGTAGACCCCACCCACATGGCCACAGAGGAAGTCACTGATGGGTACATGAAAAGCAATGAAAAGCAAACATTTTGAGTTTCTGGTCCATGGTGTCTCTCAACTTCAGAGCTGCTGATACAAGCCAAGGGAGCAAGGGAGCCTGGGTACACCACTGCTAGTGTGCCTAGTGTCCCATTTCCCTCTACAATTTCTACAAGTAATTATCATTTAAGCACTTGAATCCCCTGTGTGACAATCTTATTGTGATCATGATTCTAAGGCAAATCACTAATATTATCATGTTACAGATGAGAAACTGAGGCTGGCCAAATGGCTAAAGAACTGAATCTGAACCCAGGAGGCCTGGAGTAGCCTCACCATACAATCCAGCTAATTATTTCATGAGCAAAAAAACCTGATTTACGCAAACTCACAAAGTTTTCTGTGGTTGTTTAGCCACATTCTTGAAGCTAATAGTCACTTGTGGTCAGGAAGGTTCCAAGTCTGCTTGGGAAGGAACACAGACACTCATGCAATTATCAGATCATTGAGTAATAGCATGCTTTACCATAAATGGACATTCTTTAGTACTAAACAACAGTCAAATTCTTAAGTAAAGAGGTACTGCAACTAGACAAAGCAAGATTATAGTAATTCCATTCAGCACAATGCACTCTACTATTGGCCCAGTACCTTTCCACAACAGGCTTCAGTACTGACTTTTCAATGTTCGGGGTAGATAAGGATTCCCAGCACAAACTCTGGCAATCTAAAGTACTTGCTTCAATTAAAAAAAAGCCAAACATTCTTTTAGGTGCACAGAGCTAGGCCTAACAATCTCTTAACTTCATTTCCAGTCTTAAAATGTGAATATTTACAGGATGTATACTGAGAATCAGTAATACTAATGAAACCTAAACTGAAGTTCCATAAACCCTTGCAATGTCTTCTAAGTCAGCCAGGCCCAGGGTGTTTATTTTTGTTTTTTTGCAAAGAAGTCAAGTGTTCAACAGGTACTCAGCATGCTCAATACTTTTGAAATTGTGGTACCAAATAGCTCTGAAGTTTTTAGTCAACCATACAAATTCAGAATGCAACTGCTGTTGAAGATAATTGCCAGTGTATAATTACAACAATAGAAATAATAGCCTTAGGGTATTTATCAAGGAGTAGAACTGTTCCTTCTGTTATTCAAATTAAGAATTTACCTAATACACCACCCTAAATACTAATGCCAGCAAGATTTCAACAGACTGTATTTGTACAGCAAATGTACTGTAGTTGAAAAGTGTAATGCTGGTGGTCAACAAAAGAGGTTTAAAGACTGTCTCAAGGCAACTCTTAAAAAATGTAGTATAAACACTGACAACTAGGAAATACTGGCCTGCGAGCTCTCCAGTTGTAGAACAGCCTTTACCAAAGGTGTCATGGACTTTGTAGACACTCGAACTCAGGATACAAGGGAGAAACGTGCTAAGAAGAAGGCATGCTTGGCAAATCCACACCGTGATCAACTCCTGCCCAGGAACCAATGTCTCCACTGTGGAAGGACATGTGGATCCAGAATTGGCCTCCACAGTCACTTACGGACTCATTGTTAAAACCGTGTTTATGGAAGACAATCTTACTCGGCTACGAGTGATCGCCAAAGAAGAAGAAGAAGGTGTGTCACACAGTATGTTCCATCATGCTACTCAGGGCACCACATTTTAAAGAGGAACCTGTGGGAACCTGTGGGTGGGGAACCTGTGGATCTTGAGATATTGCTGGATTTCCAAGTCCCATCCAGTTAGCATGGCCCATGATCAGGATGGCAGGAGATGCAGTTCAGCAGCATCTGGACAACCACTGGTTCCACATCCCTTTACATTGTAGGCAATTCAGAGGAGGTCAGTGAAGATGCACAGGGGTATAGAAAGTTGTTTTAGGAATGGTTGAGGAAACTGGATATGATTAAGCTGGAGACTTGAAGACTGAGAGGAAATGCAAAGACACTCTTCAAAACCTGAACAGCTGTCCCACAGGAGAGGGCAAATACTTGTTCTTTGCTGCTGCAGAGGGCAGGACTAGGTTTAATGGGTTGATTTACAGGGGTAGATTTGGGTTGAACATTAGGAAGAGACTTCAAGAGGAGAGCAGTTCAACAACAGAGAAGAGCTCTTTCTCCTGGAGTTTCTCAGGCAGGGACTGGACAGCCATCTGATGGGGATGCTCAAACTCTGCATTTCGTGCACTGGTCTAGACAGTCTACAGGACACCCACCATGTACTTTTTAGAAGAAATATACCACTCATCAGCTAAGAATGAAATGTAGTCACACGCCTTTTGGACATCATATCACAATGAAGGCTCTGGAGGGGTCAGAGCGGAATTTTCTTCAGTATGCCCCCCCAAACTCCAAAAAAGGAGATCCCATTCAAACGTTTAAGATGCATTCACAAAGGCAAAACCTGGTTCTGAACTGAAAAGCCAAGAATCAGGTAGTAAGGCTGAGTGTGTTGCAATGCTTTTTAAAATTGCATATTGACCCCAAATAATTGCCATTTCCCTGCAGGGGGAGAAAAGATGCGAATCATGTCTCACAGTCGAGGAGGCACAGTTTGGTTTAGGGCTCGTCAGCTCTACGGGATTCAGCGTGGCTTACTCTCGCGTAACCTCCCCCCCCCCCCCGCGCGCGCGCGCGTTTTCAGGGCGCAAACAGGGCTTGTGCGTCTTGAGGGGTTTGATTAGTTCATTTTACGCACACTCCTGTCGCGGAGACGGCTGCTTCTGAGGGGAAACCAACGGGGCTCAGAACCCCGAAAGTTAGCTCTGTGACACAAGGGGAAAAGGCGCGGCAAGACATGGCGCCCCTGCCGCCACAAGGGAACTTTCTTCAGGCGCGCTGCAGCCGGAACAGCAGCAGCAGCAGCAGCAGGGCGTTTGCCACCAACCCTTCCAAGGCAGAGCCGCGGCGGCCCAAGTGCCCCGCCCGTGGAACGGCGGGAAAAGGAGGGAAAAGGCCGGGCCTGGCGCTTGCTTACCTGGCGAATGCTGGCGCGCGTCCGGCTGCTGACTGCTGTCCCTCTACGCTCTGGCTCTTTCTCCCTCAGGCTGGCCGGGCTCAAGCCTCCCGAGAGCGGGGCTTGTTTTGTTCTGCTCGGCGGAAGGCGTGTCCCTGAGCACCCCGCAGCCCGCGCGCCCGCCCAAAGAAAGTCGCCGGGGAAGAGCGAGCGAGGCAAGGAGGGAGGGACCGAGGGCTGGCTGCTGAGGGCGCCTTTTTCGTCTGTTTTTTGCACTCAGCACCACAAAAGGCCTGAGGTCACGTTTCCTGAAGAAACAAACAAACAAGGCAGGCAGGCAGCGAGCGGGGCAGGGTCGCCCACCCAAGTGGATGAGCGAAGCAGCTGACGCTGAGGAGAACAGGGACAGGGGAAAAAAGCATGGGGTAGCAAAATAATCATAACCATATCTCTTTTTATAAAAAAAAGCACTTTCTCAAACCACTTTGAGATTTTATTAGCATCAAGCGGCATATACATCTTGTGAAATAAAAGCAAACAATAAAACAGAAGATTTTGGCGTCACACAGGGCGCTGCTGAAATTTGAAAGTCCAAAGTGGGCCACTGCATACCATTTCGAAAATGCAAACAAGAATTCAAGTGATTAAGGAGCCCCCAATGGCACAAAGCGTCAGTACCTCTGGCTGTTAACCAGAAGGTTGGTGGTTTGAGCCCACCCAGAAACAGCTTGAAGGGACGCGGGTGGTGCTGTGTGTTAAACCACAGAGCCTAGGACTGGCCGATCAGAAGGTCGGCGGTTCGAATCCCCGCGACAGGGTGAGCTCCCGTTGCTCGGTCCCTGCTCCTGCCAACCTAACAGTTCGAAAGCACGTCAAAGTGCAAGTAGATAAATAGGTACCGCTCCGGTGGGAAGGGAAACGGCATTTCCATGCACTGCTCTGGTTCGCCAGAAGCAGCTTAGTCATGCTGGCCACATGACCCGGAAGCTGCACGCCGGCTCCCTCGGCCAATAAAGCGAGATGAGCGCCGCAACCCCAGAGTCTGTCACGACCAGACCTAATGGTCAGGGGCCATTTACCTTTACTTCACCTAGGGACAGCTTGGGGCAGGATTCCAGCAGTGCAGGGGTTTGGACTGGATGACCCTTGGGGTCCCTTCTAACTCTACAATTCTATGATTATCACGTAAGCTTAAAAAAAGACATAATTCTTGGTGTGGTGCTTTCAGTAACCATTCATTTTTGGTATTCAGTGTGGTGTAGTGGTTAAGAGTGGTAGTGTTGTAATTTGGTGAACCAGGTTTGCTTCCCTGCTCCTCCACATGCAGCTGCTGGGTGACCTTGGGCTAGTCACACTTCTTTGAAGTCTCTCAGCCTCACTCACCTCACAGAGTGTTTGTTGTGGGGGAGGAAGGGAAAGGAGATTGTTAGCCACTTTGAGACTCCTTTGGGTAGTGATAAAGCAGGATATCAAATCCAAACTCCTCCTCCTCCTCCTCCTCTTCTTCTCTATTTGGAATGAATGTCCCACAACTAAGTCTGAAAAGGAGGACCTCTCTTGGCAAAGGGGATGCTACCTCTCCCAGAGCTTGTGGTAATGCTCAAGTAATAACAGGCCTCTGCACCCCCAGCAAAGCTCCCATGCTTTTAGCAGCTGCATGACAACCAGAAATGCAACAGGTACATAATATGTATTGTGGCTGCTTGAATGCCATGCAACTGACAAAAAGCGCAGATAATTGTGCCAGATCTGTTGTCTTTCTTCTTATCCCCCAGCCAGCCAGCCCACCTTTGGAGCTCTCCTGATACATATGAAAGATATGAAGGACTGTCTTACAGTGCAATCCTATGCGTATTTCCTCCAGAGTAAGACCCGTTGTGTTCAATGGAATCAGCATAGGCTTGTAGTCTTAGTGCTTTCCTTTCTGATAACACATGAGAGAGAGAGAAATACTTCAAACAAAATGTGGAAGCTTCAAAGGGAATATTCGGAAATACTTCCTGGTTCGGTGTTGTTACTGATGGGTGACTATTTTTATTGATTAGTGAACATATCATAACATACCAGAAAGAAAGAAGAGGTAAGTAGGGATGTATATACTGTATATTTAAAGTATTTAAGGTTGCAATACTACAACCAGCCACTTAGATGTGCTCAGAAGTGCAGCATGTCAATGATCCTCAGGAGCTTATTCCTAGCCATCTATAACCCTGGGTGAAAACTGCTTCTGAACATGGTGGTTCTATTTAACTGTCATTAATTTGCTGGACCTTTTTAGAAAACTACCAATCATCAGCACATCTTGCACTAGTTAAATTTGTGTGTTAATTAAACATTGTGTTGACAATGTTCTCTATCCACATCTCTTTCCCATGCTGTTCTTATTTTATTTTATTGCCTTTGTCTTGTGTTTTGAAAAGTATTGAGCCCTAACCTCTTTGGCTTTTCTTCATGGGAAAGATCCTCCAACACTTTGAGCATTGGCTTGCTTTTTTCTGAACCTCTTCCACTTCTATGATCATTCCATTGAAATGAGGTTTTCTTGAGAAATGCCAGCAGGGCTAATTGAAAAAAAAAGTGCCAATGGTTTGCCGAAGCCCTTTATGCATCTTTTATTTGAGTTTTCTTTGAAACATCCATCAAGGAACCTTGTGTACTTCTACCACAGCGAGATGCATGAGTTACGCAATGTATCACCATGAACAGTGAACATTGCCTAAGAAGTGCCAACAGAGAATCTGTGAGTCATTCACACATTTGCTTCTGTGGCTTATTTGCTCACTCAATTCATTGATTATAGATATTAATATGAGTGAGGCTACTTAATGGTAATTTGTAATGCAAGATGGTAAATGTAATAAGTGAAAAATATTGCAGTTTTTAAAGAAATAGCAGCAACTATCATATGACTAAATGCCACCAGTTTCTTGCCACCTCTGACAAAGGCTTCCATTGAATGCTAGTCTCAGAGGTTCTATAAGGCTGTGGAATGCTCAGAGCGTCTTTGTGTAACCATAAATAGAACAGGAAATATATACAATAGTGGCAAAGAAAGGAAGACTAATTTCCACACTGCATTTCTGTATATATCAGCAGCCTAAGGCAAAAACATGGGATGGAACACTGATTGCGTTCCTTCTTTTTATGCAAGTTCATTATATTAACTACAGCAGCATATCCAGTAGTAATGAAATATGAGATGGTTATTCATTGAACCCCCCCCCCCCAAAAAAAAAAACTAGCACTGGAAAAATCTAGATCTGATTTAGTGTGTGTGTGGTACACGGGCTAAATGTTTTATCAAAATGTTGACTTCTGATGTGTATACATTTATTTGGAAATAAACCCCATTGAATGCAATGTGGGACTTACTTCTGAGTAAATATGCAGGTAGGTATCAAACTAAATAACTGTGCAAGTGAAACAACTTCCACTTGCACAGTGGGAGGTGTATGATATGATATTATTGTTATATAATTTATGTTATATTGACTGTTTCTCTTTGTACTTTGTTGGAGAGAAGAAAAAGAAAGGAGGGATACAAAATAAATATATTCAACAAAGAAACAATGTGTTTCAAATCTCAAGTGTTGGAGAAGGTAACATTTAACATTTTCCTCCTAAAGAGTCACTGAAGAAGAATGTTGCATTGTAATATAGCTGTGGGATTTCTTCTTCGCAAATTGATGAAGTCTCAAGGGTGCAGCTGCCCCCTGGTGTTTAAGTGGTACTGTTACACACAGTACTTAAATGCTAATTGAGTGCCAGCAAGGTATTTTTTAATTCTATCCGATAATTACCAAATAACACATCACGAAAAGAAGTTTAGAGGAGAATAGTTCATTTATTTTTCCAGCTGGATAAGGTGTATGTTTTCATTATGTTCTTTATGTTTCAATGTTTTATTGTTTTTAATCAATTACACTTCTTTGTGTAATCATGGACAGAAATGAAAGGTAAAGATAATAAATCCAATCGTTCCAAAAATCAAATCAGTCAAGACTCAGACAAAGGTCATGAAACTATTTACATGCCATGTCTGCAGTTAGCTATATGGAACAATGTTGGAAAAGATCAAAGATTGAAATAACAAAATATATTTGGAGCTGTTCTGAAATAAACTCAGTTCCTTTAAAATCAGGGACAGATGTATAGTTGTGGAGCATATTTCTATACTAAATTGTGACAAAGAGAGCCAGTTCAGTTGCTGATATGGTATTCATCTTCCACTATATAACTTAGAAAGTCGCTAGTTTGAAAGTAATCCTGTGTCTTGTGTTGTGTTATGGGGTTGACCAATATAGTGTCAGAAAAAGATCCTCAAGGACCCACTTTGAACAATGTGCAGTTGGGTGCATATACCAAGTAGCAGGCAACAAAGAGCTGGAGTCAGGTAGCTTGACGGGAGGCTATAGCAGATGGGAAAACGGGAGGTGGGATCAGCAGCACCAGGGACAGCACCAAAGTTTGCTCCAGCAATGGACAACAGGGAAGTGAGTCCTCTTATCCTGCCAGGGGCCTGATGAGTGCTTGAATTTTTACCCTTTAGCTAAGGAGTTTGCAGCCTTTCCCCATGGCAGAATTATGTGGCCTCTAGCTATCCTTTCTGTGATCTCAGTTGGGAGCTTGCAGGTGGCTCAGTGCAGTTGGGGCTTGGAATATCACACTCCAATGTTATTTTGTTCCTCTTCCATTAGAATATCACCTTCTTCCTTTAGAATATCACCTTCACAGCCTTCGGCTCAGACCTATAGTTCCTTCTGTCCCCAGGACCTGTGGGAATTCTTAATCCCAGACTGGCTACCTTCCCTTCATTCACAGAACATGTTTGTAAAAACTCCATGATACCATACTGTAATTAGTAGACAGAGCAATTGTCCTGCCCCATGCCCAACACACACAAATGGGGGCTCTTATGCATAAGTAAGAAAATGATCTTTATGAAGGCAAGAAATGGTGCAGGTTAGACAGCAGACTAAGGCATGACATTATCAGTTACAAGACTTCCTTGCTTTATGGGAAAGTCGAGAGTGCATGTGCATGTTCCTCCATAGGGAGTGGGTCTGCTCCCATCTGCAGACGTGGAATCTCATTCTAGGTGATAATACAACACCCTCCTATTCAAGCCCCCAGTTCCACTCTGTCAGCTCCTGGCTGGTGTAGCTGAGGGCTTCAAAGACTGGGCCCCTTGGGAATATGCAGGACTTTGGATCCTTGTTCCACCCCCCAAATGCCCCATTAGAGGGCTTTATACTTGCTATCCCAGGTGATAGGGCACAGATGGAACTTCCACCATGGTGGATCCCCCCCCATCCATTTGAGATGTCCCTCCTTCCTGTCATCAAAATTAGGATGTGAGTGTGTGTTGGGATCACACTCCTTGCACAGTTAGTATCAGAGGCTGCTCTGCCATAAGCACATAGATATATTATCCGCCTTTTAAAATGGCTGCCATGTTGTGAATGCGCTATTTATAGTGATTCTAGGACTCCCCCACCAAACAAATGGTGACAGGTAATTAAAATAATGCCCAATGATAGCTATAATGTGTGATACTCATTTGGCCAATTATTAAATTCTCAAATGCCAGGAATGCTAAGAGCTAAACCACCCACAAGATGGAGCTAATGAGGCAAAGTAAGTATCAAAGCAACACCTTAAACTGCTTTACAAATCCCAATACCCTCCAAGACCATGTTGCAGAAACATGCATTATCTCATGGGCT